ATTTTTTATTCACTGTCTATATTAAATTGTTCACTGTTGCAGTGTTATCCAAAGTAGATATACAGTATAATTACTATATCACCAAAGAACACCACAATAGAACATTATGCTTATTTGACACAAAGAGTAAATATTTTCCCCAAGTGCGCTGATTTAGGTTTCATAAGTTTCTTTTGTACATTAAAAGGAGAAGGAAATCACAATTTGATCTTATTTCCCTAGATAGTTATTTAATATAAAAAAAATAGTAGCTAAGGATTACACTTAATTAAAAAAAAAAACCTTGTAAAACTGGATAACGTGGGATTTAAAGCTTTATTAATTTGTTGAATAAACAGGGATAACCAACATTTAGAGGACATCAGAAGGGATACAAAGGCTAGAATCACTGTTACTTGAACTAATGACTTGGAAGTTGTTTCTGCCCATTTGTTAAAATTACCCCATCACATGGGGATGTGGCCAGTAAATTATGGGGAGACATCGATATAGGAGCTAAATGGCTAGCATGTAGGGCCTATATATATATATATATATATATATATATATCATAGGCGTGCGCACACCCTAATCCCCGCGGCACGCCTATGGATTGAGACAGGCAGGGGAGATCTCAGGATCTCCCCTGTCGGCTCATGCAGAGCCGGTGCTATCCGAGCGCCGGCTCTGCTCTAAGCCCCCATGGGCCGGTGGGGAGATCAAATATCTCCCTCACCAGCCCACAGCAGCATGGAGGGAGACAGGAGAGGACCAGGGGAGCTCTAGCTAGCAGCTTCGCCGGGTTCCTCTCGCAACGCTCAAATCTCGCGAGAGTGAACTTTATTCCCGCAGGCTAAAGTTCATTCTCCACTGGACCACCAGGGATGGCACATGGCAGCAAGGATCCCCCCTCTCTACATAAGGTAAGAAGGTAGGGGGGATATTTACTAATCTGCCCCCACCTCCACTCCCACAATCCCTCCAAACATACAGCACCCTCACACACACAGCACACAGCACACAAACAGCACCCACACACACAGTACACAAACAGCACCCACAAACATACAGCACCCTCACACACACAGCACACAAACAGCACCCACCCACACACAAATAGCACCCACACCCACACTCACACAGCACCTACACACATACAGCACCCTCACACACACAGCACACAAACAGAACCCACACACACACAGCACCCACACACATACAGCACACAAACAGCACCCACACACATACAGCACCCTCACACACACAGCACACAAACAGCACCCACACACACAAACAGCACCCACACTCACACAGCACCTACACACATACAGCACCCTCACACACACAGCACACATACAGCATCCTCACACACACACAGTACACTAACAGCACCCTCACAAACACACACATGGCACCCTTACAAACACACAGTACCCTCACACACAACACCCTCACACACAGCACATTAACAGCACCCTCACAAACACACACACAGCACCCTCACACACACAGCACACAAACAACACACTTACACACAAACAGCACCCTCACACACAGCACACTAACAGCACCCTCACAAACACACGACACCCACACACAGCACACAAACAGCACACTCACACACAGCACACTCACACACAGAGCACCCTCACACACACACATTACACAAACAGCACCCTCACACACACAGCACCCTCACACAGCACACTAACAGAACCCTAACAAACACACACACACACACCCTCACACACACACAGCACACTATCAGCACCCTCACACACAGCACATAAACAGCACCCTCACACACAGCACACTAACAGCACCCTGACAAACACACGACACCCACACACAGCACACAAACAGCACCCTCACACACACACACATCACACAAACAGCACCCCCACACAAACAGCACCCTTACACAGCACACAGGACCCTAACAAACACACACATACACAAACAAGCTCACACACTCAGCACACTACCAGCACCCTCACACACAGCACACAAACAGCACCCTCACACACATAATCAGCACCCACACACACAGCACACTACCAGCACCCTCACACACACAGCACACTAACAGCACCCTCACACACAGCACCCTCACACCATCCTCACACAGCACACTAACAGCACACACAGCAGTGTATGTATGTGTGTGTATATATATATATATGTGTATATATATATATACATACATACATACATACATACATATACACGCGGCATGTGTTTGTGCTTTAGGGTGCACAACCTAATGCAATAGGCTGCGCACGCCTATGCTATATAAATATATATATATATATATGGGGAGGGGACTGGCCCCTATCCCCCAGCCAACACTGATAGGCAGTGGGTGATCGAAAGACATATGTGAATATAATTCATCATTAATCCAGTCCTACAAGGGTTTGTGAATTTCTGATCTGCAAAAGCAAGTGGGGGCTATTAATAATATAGGAGGCCATGGTCCACATGCCTACCCCTACCCATAGGCTCCAGGTGGGGGATATTAGTGTAATTGGGGACAGGACATGCCATTGTCCACTCACCCTTTTTTCGGCATGTGTAATAGATTTAATATCTTTAAAATTAAAAAGTCATATTTACCTTCCGAATTCTTCTATAATCTTATTTTTTCAGCCCCGAAAAATGTCAAATAAAAGTCCATTATAAACCAATGCAACTTTTAAGATGCAGATACTAGATCTGCAGGTATTGCAAGCTGAGATAAGCTAAGTCGGTGATAAACAAAACAACATTGTGTTTCTTGAAAAGTTTCCTGAATGGGTGCATGACAAAAAATCATGTACAGTGACATCAGGAATAAGCAAAAGATATGGCTAGGTAATTGGTGCAGTTTACAGACATAACAGGCATCAATAGTAACAGAGGAAAAAAGTTTTCCCTCAAGACACTATACTAAACCATGGTGCGGCACTCCAGATGTTGTGAACTACATCTCCCCTGATGCTTTGCCAGCATTACGGCTTTAAGAGCATTTTGGGTGATATGGTCCACATTCTGGTTGCTCTCTTACATAGTGGATTCTGAGGGATGGATGAAGCCTATAGATAGCATAGTGATTATCCTATCAGCTTTTCTTAGAACTATCCTGCTCATTATTATTTCAAGAAAGCCATATTTTCTTTCTCAGAATTCCCGTAATTAGAGAAATGCAGAGATATATGCATAATCCATTTATGTCAATTTGTTTTTCTTGCTCTTATCCGCCTTATCTAAAGAGTCTTTATACTTTGCATTACGTATATGAATTATGGATCTCAAAAACTTTGTGTTCCCTTTTAATTACGTCTCTAATTAAAAATCTGAATCTAGAGAGCAGGCTTAGTAGCATTGTTAAAACATGATCAGTAATGATGACACTGTCTTCAGAGACACGGCCACAAATACAACGAGGCACTGTCTGTTCGTATTTACTTAAGAAATAATTGTTTGATTACTTTCTCATAAAACAAAACGGTCATATTTAGCTTCAATTACTTGAAGGAAAAATCTACTAGACTATGACAATTATCCTTTTACAATTTGTGAGTATATTTTTGCTGTTTATTTATTTTTAAGTTATTTTTTAAAGAATTATCTTTAGCATGCATTTAAAATAATAAAAATAATAATTTTATACTATTGTTTCCTTTTAGGTGATTGCATACCTCCTAACATTTCAAATGGACAAAGAGGGACACTTTCATTTTTGGTGTGTGAGTGGGGAGGTGAGGTCATGGGAGGGGTTATTATCAGAGATATTAGGTGACTTACTGATTACAATTTATGGAACTAAAATGTAATTTAGAACAAGAACAATGTATCTTATTTTCACAGACTGCTTTCTAAACACATTTATTGGAGTTTAAAACACATTTCATGGAGTATTATTGCTGTGGAGCTCTGTTATACACTCAGACACAACAACAATATGGAGCTCCTAGAAGAGAGAGACATTAGGATAGAAAACAGAAGAATGTGGGCCCAATATAGGGACTGTCCCTCCTAAATGAGGACACTTGGGAAGTTTCTGATAGTATCCCTTTCATTTATGAGTTATCTTTATTGAGAGATCATGCTTGGTCAAAAGGTCACATCTTTTCTGTTATCTGTTCTCCACTCATCCCCTTGGGATCACTGTGTTTGAAAAAGCTCCTCGATGTGGTCCTGCAAGGTAAGTAAAGTTACAGTCACACTCAGCTTATAGTTAGGGGCTTCACTGCATCACTGGGACATGGGACATTTAGGGGTCAAGTGAGTGTTAAAATTAGGGTTAAGCTTCGCTCAATTCTTATTCTAACTCTAATACTAGAAGTAAGGCTAAAGGTAACCCTGGACATAACTGAGCATTTTTTTCCTGGGTGTCAGTCTGTAAATAAAAAAATACCGGCTAAATCTAACCGTAATTTTAACCATCACTTTAACCTTAAATGTCCCAGTGCTACAGTGAAGCCCATAATTATAAGTTAAATGTGATTGTAACTTTGCTTACCTTGCAGGACCTACCTCGCCGAGCGGCCGTTTCAGACACAGGGTTCCCAAGGGAGGAGGAGTTCCGATGACGAGGGAGGCGGAGTCCCAATGATAGCTGAGCTTTAATGGTAAGAATGCAGTGCTTATAACTGTGCTTCATATACTGCAACATATTATGCAAAACATTTAGACTTCCGTAAACTCTTGAAGTTATATCACCTTCTGTCTTTATGTTACTGTCCTTATTAGAACGTGAAGAAAATATCCTACATTAATAAAGAATAATGATAATATTTATTGCCTTGGGACTTTGGTTCTCTTTTCTTATCACACAGGTGATGATTTAACAGAGCCAATGCAGTTACCAAGGTTCCCGCCCATATGTTAAATTAATTTACAAGGACTTTGCACCCAATTCTGCTGTTTGAGTGCGGCATTTGAGCTGGTAATTATTAATAAATCAGTTTTATGATGCTAGCTTAGTTAACCATTGCTCCTGAACCTTGGAGAGACTCACTCACGTTCTGTTGAGACCAGCGAAAATGTCCACCAGGTACCACCAAGCTGCTATTGATGGTTATGAAGACATATTAAAAGAAGCAACTAAAAAGGATATTAATAATTCAGATGGAGATGGCATGACCCCCACTCTGTTAGCAGCGTATCACGGTCATCTGGACATACTTGAACTGGTTTGCCACAGAGGGTAGGTATTCTAATATTGGTTCAACATGGTAATGGGATTAGAAATAATTTAACATCTACCGTCTGATATTTACTGAAGATATAAATGAATTGGTATTTTATTCATGCAGTATTAATAAATTACAAGTTATAATGCAAGATAGTGGAGATACAACATGTGCAGTATGTGTATATAGATATATAGAGAGAGAGTGGGAGAGAGAGAGGCACAGTAAGTGTAGTAACTACACAGTGTATTTATATTTTACGTGTATGACGCAAAAATGAAGGTCCAGAAACAAAGTCCAGTTCGAGATATGCAGATGATAACAGTATTTTTGTATTTATATATAAACCACTACTATATGTTAGCTCTTTACTGCATTACAGTGAGAGGAAGGTACACTAAGCTGTGTTTAGGCACAATTTTGATAAGTGGTGCATAAACAATCCATGCAGTTACATTGGCCCACCAAATTTTATTGCATTACAAATATATATATATAGATATATATTATTTTATTTTTAATTTTTTAGAACTGCTCCTGAGGCAACATACACCTTATTAACCAGATAAAGGCTTCAACAATCAGAAACCAGCATGGGTTTTATAAAATAAGTTGTTTGTCCCCCACCCACGGTTCTAACGTGATAGCAGTCATACTGCAGCAGATGGTATTGGTTTACACAAAACTTGATTTGCATTTTCCGGAATCAGGCCATGGGCAGGGATCTGACGGGCGGCTTTTAGAGAACGAGAGATATGTCCACCCTATTGGTGGTACATGCAGCATTTGGCGATGGATACCCCAGAAAGATAACCAAAACAGCAAAGTAGACATAGAGGTGCCCTCCGCAACAAGTAACAATGGTAAGATAAAAATGATAGTCAATGGATCAAATGCAAAACAAGTAATAAGAGGGGAATAAGAAAATACCAGGCAAACAAAATGGACAGTAAAAGGATTGGAAAAGCAACTAAGAGAAAAAAAAAGTTTAGAGGAGTCCAAAAACATAAAGAGGAAAGAACGGTAAAAAATTAACAAAAACAAATGGAAATAAAAAAATTTAAAAAATGAAAAAACAAAGAAAGCAGTAAAAGGAATTCCAGGTCTGAACTCTGAGCTTAGAGTGGAATTGTGTTTTCTACATACAGTATGTTTCTTTCCTTCACATTATTCATTCTTTCCATTCGTGGTCCCATTTTTTTCATTCGTCACTCCTCTCTACTTTAAAGCCATATCTCACTCGTGTCAAATCCATCCCTTGTTCATGCAATAACTTCACTCAATTAACTATATTATCCATTTCTTTTTTTAATGTCATATTTTCTTTGTATCTTGCCAGCTCTCCTTCCTTTCATTTATTCTCAGGCTTTATCTTTCCATTCCCTATCCCATCCCTTCTTTATTTACTCATTGGCCATTTACCTAGGTTCGTCCATCAAGCACTGTGCGGACCCTTTCCAGTCTGAATTTATGTTGAAATGTTTTCAACGAGTTACAAAACATTTCTTATAGGTTCTGGTCCATGTTTAAACAGCAACATACTCCTGAAAAATATTCGGTCACTCATTTATGCCCCTAATCACCAATTTTCCTCATCCCAAATTTGGTCTGTTGCATGTGTGCCCAAAAGGTAGATCTCCAGATGTTGTAGAACTACAACTCCCATGATGCTTTGTGTGCATTTAGAATGACAAAGCATCATGGAAGCTGTAGTTTGAAAACATCTAGGGATCTACCTTCTGGGCACCCCTGGTCTATTGTATTGAGATTGCTAAATTTTGCCGGCCATTGGTGTAATCTAAATTCAGTGCCATGTCAAGAAGCATGTAATTGTAGAAAATAATCCAGGCACTCCAATAGATTCCAAAATTAAGGCAATTTATTTGAACCAAGAACTACCTTAATTTTGCCTTAATTTTGGAATCTACTGGAGTGCCTGGATTATTTTCTACAATTATCTACTATTGGTCCTGACTGGGTACTGGGACTTTCCATGAAGCACCCTGGATTCCATCGTGAGGGGTAGAGTGCGCTTCCAGCTCTGTCTATTTTACATGTCAAGAAGCATGGGCCTAATTTGAATTCACTGTTTTGAAACAAAGCACAAATTAGTTCAAGCTGTTTGATCCGATGTGTACTTTGTGACATGTTGGGTTTATCAATTTGGAAATAGATAGATTGCATCCAAGCCTCTTGACCTCTAAATCTACACAAATATAAAAAAAGAACATTGGATTTATTTGAAAAATAAAACATGCTATATTTATTGAATATATCAAAAAAGCTTTTAAAAAAGAATGCAAGTATACGCGGATTGCAAATGCACTAACACGAGTGGCCTCCAGAAAGTATTAGGGCAAATCACAAGGAGCTGCATATGAAAATAAATCAAACACACACATCGAGAACACACAATGTGAAAATGCAATAATTAATTGGGAAGAGGCATAAGAGAAAGAAAACCTTCTCTCTATATTATCTGAGTTGTGCAGGGGGCTGAAAGAAAATAAAAGAGTGGTAAATGCTCAAAACTTCTATTTAGAGCTGAAACAAATGTCATCTGTATCAAAGTCTGTAAAATAATGTACTCACAAACTCTAAACCTCCACAGTAACCAAAAATTAGAATTCTTTGGACTAAATGTTTGCCAGAAAGATGTCATCGATCCTTGAAGGGTTAAAGGTTTAACATCTATAACTACTCCAGTGACATGGCTTTTTACCTGTGGTCCGATCCCTGGCTCCATTACTAATGCCAGATAGCCAGACGTTTCTTGACATGTGCACAGTCGTTATTCAGCATGTGCTAAAACCTTAATAAAATAACTCTGTGACACAATTTCTGTTGGAGCATAAAGTCCACAGCTTTATTAAAAATTTTAATTCAACAATTTAACAATTTAGGGTCATTGTCACAAGTATTAATTATGTTCGACCTCCTTGCCCAATACCCCCGACAATGACCCTACCAAATAACATTAATAAAACATTCCAATAATACATAACGTTTAACCCATGGCCTAACCATATGTTTAACTGTAGGGGTGTACCCAGACACCCCTACACCCCCAGATTCGTAGCCACCAACGAGCTAGAACCTACAAACCATTTTCCACTCCGGCATAGTCCAGCCTAGACCTTGGCCTGCCCACTTCCTATTCCACCTAAATCCTCTTTAACCCAGGCCCTATTCCCGCCGCTGTGACCAAACAGGAAACTACCTTACCAAACAAGACAACCTAAAACAAAGGGAGGGTGGGAGGGACAAGTATCAAGTAAGTGTGATTTTGATTAAAAAGGCCAGTTCACCACAAAGGCTGTTATTTAAACCCTTATTCTCCTCCCCCCCCTGTCCATACATTACTTTTCCACACCCCTTGACCTTAACTTCACCTGCCAACTCTCTGGCCCTGTCAAGGCCCACTCCCCCCCTGTGTTGCTCCATGGGCTTCAAAACAGGAAGTTCCTAAACTGACAGTCTCATACAATGAGCTAAGCCTTGCATTGCAGGGCTATCTTGGGAGCGCTAACAGAAGTTCTGGTTTAAAAATGAAACCTACAGCCTTAGTAGTGGAGTTGGGGAGTGGTTCCTGGCAGATCCCAGGTAAAAAGTCAAGCCATTCAGAAACGGTTTGACTCCTTACAATGGTGGGGTGCCAGGGTCCCCCTGACACCATGACTATTACAGGGCACTCTAGTGGTTATGGTGCTTGGAGTGTACAAGCTTGATTCACAGGGCCATGGATGTGGGTTATAGATCCCTACATCATTTTGTAGAGGGTGGGGGAGAGGGGACAAATCCTCGTGGCATTAAGGCCTATAGTGTATTAGTTGGGTTCACCAGTGGTTGAGTGTAATATAAATGTTTAAGACTGCTTATGTATCAATGGTTTACTTATGTATGAAGCAAAGCATTGATACATAATTGCTATTTAATTACCTATGCAAAATTAAAGGTCAGCTCCAGCTGTGACTCAGGTAAGTTCCTCCCGCAGGTCAGCTTCTTGTAAGATTGTATAATTGAAGTAGTTAATACATTTTACATTTACCAAACGTAAAGGCTTACCTGTATTAGTTTAGATTTTATTGCCAGATCAGAAAACCAGTTTTAATGCTGATGTTTAGTTAAAAACAAACATATTTTCAGGACTAGATTCAATATATTACAACCCGGAAGGCAATGGTTAAAGGGGCACTCTAACCAAAGCATTGTTTGTATAAAATAATTTTTCAGTAGTATGACATTAAACAGGGCTTTCATCCTGATCCTTCTGCTGTGATCCAGCTAATGCGTTAGTGAACCTCCATTTTATCTCATCCAGCTTGGGACATCTGAGAGTGCTGGGGCTGGCTAGCGGGCTACATTTATGGATATTGTAATATAGGGACTGGATTGTGGAAGTCTGTTGTATGTCAATGGCTCCTGGAGGGAAGCTGAAACCCTCGGTGGAGGCAACTTTGGGGTTAAACCATTCAAGAATATTTTAAACCTTTGAGGCAAGCATGAGCCCAAAGTCCTTCAGGCACCATCACAACTTTATTAACATGAAGTTGTTATGGTGCCTGAACTGTCCCTTTAAGGCTTCAAGGAATACAATGGCAGCACCATGAAAAAAATGTTGATTATCATCCCCACAAAGCTTTTAAAACACTGACAAAAAAACGCAAAATAAATTCACGGGGATTACTATAATATGTACAATAATTTTCATTTCAGAAATTCTGTACCTTTGTGACTAAATGATGAATTGTTCCTGCTGTGTTTTTATTGTGGAAAATTGCATATTTATATAGATTTAGTGACATGTTCCTAATCTGCTTCTGAATTATAGCTTGCTTTGTCTTACTATTTGAGATCTAACCCTTTAATGGATCATTGACACCTTTGTAGCAAAGATTTAGTGAAGTGAACGTAATCACATGTTACTTCAGTAACACTCTGTATAATGCTACCTCGCACAGCGCTGCTTTGTTACAATGTGGTTTTTATTACAGTATACAGCACAGGCATTCAGTTTTTATTCCTATAAAGAAAAATGACACATTACTGCTTAAAGGGACACTATAGGCACCCAGACCATTCCATTGAGATGAAGTGGTCTAGATGCCATGTCTCTCAGTTTTAATCCTGTACCTGAGAACATTGCCATTATGCAGAATGGCAATGTTTTCATCGCAGGGTTTAAATGTATCAAGGAGCTGTCACTCTAAGAGACCAACTGATTGATGCACTGCAAGTTTTTGCGGCGTATACGCACTAGTCTCCAAATGTTTTTCTATGGGAAAGCATTTGATTGGCTGAGCCATAGAGACCGGCGCCATGATGGAGAAAAGGTAAGTAAAACAACTTTTTTTTTTTCCTGCAGGTGGGGGCCCGTCATTTAAATGGCAAACAGGGAACTATTGGATTAAGAATACACATTTGTATTCCTAATACGATTGTGCTCTTTTACATTTGCTCCTTTGATGCCTTTTATAAACTTCACAAAAAAAATTATCCAGTAATTCAGTGCAGGCCAATGGAATTGTTTTCAGTTGTCTGACACATGTTGAAGTCCCGAATGGGATGATGCATATTCCCAGGTGAGACTTTCCACCTATTTCACTGACTCACACTTGTAAGGCTATCTCGATGTAGAGCAGTGATTAACATGTGTTCAGGGCTGGGACCAGCCTTCTCCCAAACACAAAAGTTCCATTACTTGGCTGTCATGTGCTGGAACTTCTGTGATGAGGCTATTCGCAGTCAAAGTGCAGGGAGAAAGCCAACCATGCATTAAGATGGGTATACAGACTGACGAAACCAAGTCAAAGTGGCAAACTTAGCTTGAATTAGCTCAAAGGGACACTCCAGACCCCTAAAGCACTTTATCTTGCCGAAAAGCTTTTTGTGTGAAGAGTGTGTCCTCATTTTCAATTGATTTGGTTAGCTGAGTGGAGCTAAACTCAATTTTAAAAATGCATAATTAAATGTATGCACATTCTTATTTGGAATATATCTCCTAAACAGTGATTTGTATCTATTTTGTATTTGGGCAGGTGAGTGTCCCTTCAAGTTTCATTGACTGACTCATTTTTGGTGGGATACTACTGAAAAGCGGTGGGACAAGGTGCCTGCCAGAGCCCAAATAAGAAGAAAAAAACATTCTTAAACAGTTTAACTACTTACAATCATGGGCCGGCAACCCCTGGGTTTTTCAACTTGCCTACTTGTGTGTCCATGGTTGTCTGTAGTGAGCATGTGTGACAGCAAGCTTTTCTGAAGTGAGCATGTGTGTGTGTCAGTGAGATTGTAGTGACCGTGTGTATCAGTGAGCTTTTCTGTAGTGAACTTTGTCTGTAGTGGGCATGTGTGTCAGTGAGCTTGTCTGTAGTAAGCATGTGTATGTGTGTCAGTGAGCTTGTCTGTAGTGATCATGTGTGTGTCAGGGAGCTTTTCTGTAGTGAGCATGTGTTTGTTTGTCAGTGAGCTTGTGTGTGTGTCAGTGTACTTGTCTGTAGGGAGCATGTGTGTGTCAGTGAGCTTGTATGCAGTGAGCGTGTGTGTGTCAGTAAGCTTGTCTGTAGTAAGTTTGTGTTTGTATACCAATGAATTTGTCTGTAGTAATCTTGTGTGAGTGTCACAGTTTGTACTAAGTTTGTATGTGTGTACGAGTAAGTCTGTTAGTGAGCCTGCTTGTGTTTTTATATCAATGAGCTTATGTGTATCAATGAGATTGTTTGTATGTGTCAGTGAGATTGTCTGTGTGTAATTTCTTACACTGACAAAACCAATATTTTGAATTAGAAAAATAAACATACCAATATTATATATACACACACTACAATGCACAATTACTTATGGGACTGGCTTACATTGTTTTCCACGGCTGCTTTGAATCCCCAGTCCAGCCCTGCAAAACATGGGCCGAGCATGGATGACGGTACAATAATGCCCCTCGTCCCCAGAACAATTCCTGCGGACGCCCATGCATACAATAATGGTGTGCCAGGTCACTCATGGCACCCTAATCTCTACAGCTATTTGTAATGGTTATGGAGCTTAAAAATGTTGCTTTAATGGTAAATGTACCATGCCATAGACATTCGTATATTGTCATTCTGTAGAACTCTTACAAAGCACTGATTTACATAAAGCTACAGCTCCATGAACACGTCCTCAGAATTATCCAGGATTTTGACATTTGTTTTAACACGATTAATAGTTCTGTTCTGATCTTTAGAGCATTTAGTGCTCATTTATTTATTTCAACTGCTTTGCATATTGAATAATTGAATGTAGAGAGTATACGTCATAAATGTCTTCCCTCGTAACATTATTTCCACATTGTGCTTTCTCCATGTGTGAATTTTCTTTATTTTATTATACTGTTATTCATCATTCCTCCTAATGCTTTCTGGAGGTCACTGGTATCACTGTAGATGGATGTAGATATGTGTGTGCCTTTTAAAAGCTTCTTTGATTATCTACAACAGATATATATTTTTTTTCATATGAATCCAATATCGACTGCTTGCTAGTATAGATTTTTGGAAGCATGGAGTGCTGATCTCAGGATCATACTAAGCTATCTTCTTGTGTATGGTTCAATCTATTCAGATAATGATGAAAGGGGTAAGCAAACCATAGTATGATAAAAGAATAGCAGTATAGGAAGGGTGCAGGGTTCCAGCAGCACCAAGTACCAGCAAATCCATCGAAGTGACGGATGAACATACTGTGGATCTGTATGTCATAAATGTGTTCCCTCCATGCCACCTGCATCCATTTTATAACCCTTCTTCCTCATTTTTATTCCTCTTTTTGATGCCATATTCCCCTTGTATAATTCAAATGTTAATGCAAGGTTCTCGTTTCTTTTCTGAGTTTATGCCATCTATCCCCCAAATCATGTTAGCCCCCACCTTTAGGTCTAAGTCCCCTCCAGAGCAGGATTAACCATAAGGTGACCTGAGGCAGCCAACTAGGGCTCAGATACCCTGAATTTGCCTGGTCCTTATTTGAAGTATGAAGGGAGGGGGGCAAATGTTGCCTTAAAGGACCACTCTAGGCACCCAGACCACTTCAGCTTAATGAAGTGGTCTGGGTGCCTGGTCCAGCTAGGGTTAACCCATTTTTTAATAAACATAGCAGTTTCAGAGAAACTGCTATGTTTATTAATGGGTTAAGCCTTCCCCCTAATCCTCTAGTGGCTGTCTCATTGACAGCCACTAGAGGCGCTTGCGTGCTTCTCACTGTGATTTTCACAGTGAGAGCACGCCAGCGTCCATAGGAAAGCATTGTAAATGCTTTCCTATGCGACCGGCTGAATGCGCGCGCAGCTCTTGCCGCGCGTGCGCATTCAGCCGGCGGGGCGTAACGGAGGCGGAGAGGAGGAGGAGAGCTCTCCGCCCAGCGCTGGAAAAAGGTAAGTTTTTACCCCTTTCCCCTTCCAGAGCCGGGCGGGAGGGGGTCCCTGAGGGTGGGGGCACCCTCAGGGCACTATAGTGCCAGGAAAACGAGTATGTTTTCCTGGCACTATAGTGGTCCTTTAATCTTTCTCTTCTCCCCTGACCTATATTCATTCCCTCATTCCAAACCATCTCCTTCACCACTTGACGCCTTTTCCCGTTCTTCATTCCCACCTTTCTTTATGTACTCAGTGGCATAACCTGTCCCTCTGAATGTATGGCTAATTCAACACATACAAGGCTATAGCATTTGTTGATAAAGTGCATTACCATATTTAATGTAATAGACAAAAATGGACTTCTTAATGCAATAGACAAAAATTACTGGTGACAAATGTAGGCATGTGTGTGAATGAATGTATGTATTTGCGTGTAGTGTTGGCATTTGAATGCAGATGTATATTTGTATGTACTGTTGCTATTTGAAACCAGTGGTGTATGTGTGTATATTGTTTGTGTTTGAATGTGTTTGTATGTACAGTTGGTGTTTAATTTCTGGGTGCACACACTACCCCACACATACACACTGAAACTCACACACAGACACACACATTGACTCATACACAAACACATATACACACTTAATCATAAACTCTGACAGACACACAGTTACTTACAGATACACTGTCAATGACAGACACAGACTCTCACTGATTTGAAACACTCACTGACAGACACATTCCCTGACAGACACACTGACAAACACTCTCAATGGCAGACACAGAATCTCACTGATTTGAAGCACTCACTGACAGACACATTCCCTGACAGACACACTGACAAATACTCTTAATGGCAGACACAGAATCTCACTGATTTTAAACACACTCCCTGACAGACATACAGTGACAGACACACACATACTCACTGACAGACACATTTACACACACGCTCACTGACAGACACACACTCACTAACAGACACTGACATACACACATACAGTGACAGACAAATGCACTGACAGACACGCACTTATTTACAGACTCACTCACTAACAGACACACTTATACACACACTCTCAATTACAGACACACAATCTCACTGATTTGAAACACTCACCGACACACACTGAAAAAAACAACAACTCACTGACAGGCGCACACACACACACTCAATAACAGACACATAATTTCACTATTTTTAAACCCACTCACTGACAGACATACACTGACATATACACACACACATTCACTGACGCATACTCTCAATGACAAACACACACTTTCACTTATTTCAAACAATTAATGACAGACACACACATACAGGCACACTCCCATATTTGCACATTCTTGCACTCACACTCACAAATTTATTTTAGTAATTGTGGTTTTATTATTTTCAGGCCCATCCAACCTCCCTACCTTTGGGAGAACTAGTGTAGGTCTCCCTACTGGGGTCAGTGGGGATCACCCCCTAGGGGTCCAGTCGCTCCTGTAATATTCTAGTTCCTCACTGCTGTTTAGTGATGTCAGGGCCAGAATGATGTCATATGCTGGCTCCCGGCATCTCAGAAGTGCACAAGGGAACAGTGACGAACTGGGAGAACATCAGCGCTCCCCCAGCGTTGAATATCGGCATAGGAGGCGTCTGCAGTCCAGGTAAGCAGGTGCCTACTCTGCCTTAATAATTAAGCACCCAATTTGGGAGCACCCTGAGGTGGCCAGCAGACCACCTTAATGACTCACTGTGACAGACCATTGGACTGCTCCTCTCTGCGCTCCCGCCCCCCACATTTTGCACCCAGGGCAGCCACACTGTCAGCCCCCCCATCCCTGCTTATGCATTCTAGTCATGTTGTCTGGATAGCAAAACCTATTGGCTTGACAGCTAAACAAGAAATTGTCAGGAATGGGCTTTGGAATGTCAAATATCAGGCCATAATAGCTTAGCTAAAAGAAGTCAGAATTTTTCAAATTCAGCTATGTAACATTATCTTTCCCATTCTTGACAATTTACCATTTAGTGAACAGCCTTCACACCTCCATGCATCTAAAGCCTCGCATTACCAGATTCCATACCTTGCGACATGCTGGGAGAATCGAATCAAAAAAATGTGTTGATTGTCGTCATAAATAAGTGCACATTTACCCAGCTCAGCACCTCGAATCATTGTAAAAAGAATAATGTCCTCTTAAGTTTCGTCCCCAGTAATTACAGTATTTTTGCATTGATTTTCTCGACGTGTGCTCTATTTTTCTACAATTATTGATAATTCCGACTAATGCTTTCTGGAGCTCAGTGGTTATTGTTGTTTATGCTTGCAACCTTTTTTATACTTTTTTTTGTGATGTCTACAGTAAATATCTATTTATTCATATAAATACAATATTGCATGCTTCATGTTTCTTATAATAGATTTCTGGAGGTTCAGAAGAGCTGCTCTAAGAATCATGCTTAGCATTCTTATTGGCTGCAGATTGATTTATGACTCACATCTCTTTCAATATAGATGCTCAATTTACATTCCGTTTATGGTCAGCAACGATGTAAATAAACATTTACATTTTCCTGGCTAATTTTCTATTCCCTAGCTGGACTTAAAGGGAACCACTTCTGCCCAAATAAAAAAAGAGTAATAATTACAGTTTAGTAGATATACCCACAATGAAAACATTCATGCATATTATTATGCATTTTTTCATTAGAGGTAAATCTAAAACCAGCTTGAGATCTCTTAAATGAAATCTTTGCAACCCTCACCTACCTCCCCAGTTCAGATTTTCTGTGGCTGTCCAATCACAGACTTCCCACTTCAATGAGAAGTCTGTGCAAGGCAGGTGCAGGGCCGGATTAACATAGGGGCTGATGGAGCTGCAGCTTTTTTTTTTTTTTTTTAACACACTACTCGTAGGTTTGCCACCTGACTGGTATTTTACCGGCACAGGCGGGATTTGAGGCTGTTTGGCCATGCCGGTAATACAAATGCAGATATTTTTCTCAGTATAAACAGAGATTACTCTACAATACCAGCACCTATTAGTAGGGGTTGCTATATGTATGGAGAGAGGCAGGGATAGAAAGTTACAGCATATTCCTGCCTCTCTCTACTCACTGATCCGTGGCGGGAGCAGCTATACAGCACAGAGAGTCCAGACAGCATTTCCCAGCCTGCAGAGACAGCCTATAGCTCAGGGAAGTGCGGGATGGGGGAAAGGCAGCAGGGAGACATGGGGACACTGAGACACTAGGGGACACATGGGAACACTGAGACACTTGCAGACACTAGAAAACATGGGGACACTGAGACACATGCGGAAGTTGTGAGAAATAGGGACATTGGGAGTGTCTCAGTATCCCCATGTCTCCCAGCCATTGTCCCTAGTGTCTCAGTGTCCCCTAGTCTCCAGTGTTCCCTAGTCTCCCAGTGTCTGTGTCACCATGTCTCTCAGTGTCCCTAGTGTCTCATTGTCCCCATGTCTCCCCGTTTCCCCCGTGTCCCATGTCTCCCAGTGTCCCAATGTCTCCCAGCCAGTGTCCCTAGTGTCTCCGGGTCCCCATGTCTCCCAGTGTCCCTAGTGTCTCAGTGCCCCATGTCTCTGTGTCCCCAAGAGTCTGTGTCTCCATATCTCCCAGCCAGTGTCCCTAGTGTCTCAGTGTCCCCATGTCTCCCATTGTCTCCCAGCCAGTGTGTCAGTGTCCCCATGTCTCCCAGCCAGTGTCCCTAGTGTCTCAGTGTCCCCATGTCTCCCAGTGTCTGTGTCCCCATGTCTCTGTGTCCCTAGTGTCTGTGTCCCCATTTCTCCCAGTGTACCCAAATGTCTGTGTGCCCATGTCTCCCAGTGTCTCCTTGTCTCCCAGTGTCTCCATGTCTGTATCCACAAGTGCCCCCATGTCTTCCAGTGTCCCCATGTGGCTCAGTCTCACTGGGAGACTAGGGGACTGGGCAACATGGGGACACTGACACTGAGACACTGGGAGACAGTGAGACACTGGAAACAAGCCATCTATACAGCAGAATCAAACTGTGAGTAGTCTGTTGGTGATTTTACAGAAGTTTCTCTTATGTCACTCCTTGTGATATACATCATGTAATATCACACATACATAATAAATTATACAAATTATTAAGACCGGAATTTTTTTTTCAAGAAATGTTGCAACCCTAACTACTCTACACATACTCTTGCTTAAAGGAACACTATAGAGTCAGGAACACAATCATGTATTTCTGATCATATTATGTTAAAACCACCATCTAGCCCCCCTGGCCCCCTCCTGCCTCCCTAAATATAGTAAAATCTTACTTGTATTAAAGTCTGCAGCTGTTGGCTCTGCCCCTGTCTGCCTCTGAACTGACTCTGTCTGCTGATATCATCAGAAATGGTAGTCTGAGCCAATTACAATGCTTCCCCATAGGATTGGCTAAAACTGCCAAGGAGGCAGATCAGGGGCAGAGCCAGCACAAGTCAAACATAGCCTTGGCCAATCAGCATCTCCTCGTAGAGATGAATTGAATCAATGTATCTCTATGAGATAAGTTCAGTGTCTGCATGCAGAGGATGGAGACACTGAATGGCAGTGCTGCACACTAGGCAGTACTGCCTCAGCAAGCACCTCTAGCAGCCATCTAAGGAGTGGCCAGTGGAGTTATTTTCTCTGAAAAGACAGTGTTTACTGAAAAAAGCCTGAAGTGAATGATTCTACTCACCAGAACAAATTCAATAAGCTGTAGTTGTTCTGGTGACTATAGTGTGGAAGCTTAAGAGTTTTGTTCCCAAGAGTTTTGTTGTTAAGAGGCATAAGAAGGTTGTATGGGAACAAAACATGTGTGGACTGGCTGACAATAAAATTAGTTAAGGTGATGCAGACTTTGGTCTCTGTAACACAGTGGCATGTCCCCATGATGCTTGGGAGGTATGACTGTTTTAGTGTTTTTGGTTGATAATATTCTGTAATTAGGCCCATCATAATTGTCAGCACCAGGCCCACTGGTCTCTTAATCTGGCCCTGGGCAGGTGCTTTGGGCAATTGTTGCCTGTAGAGTTTAGCTCCACTGAGCTAAACAACCAGGAAGTAACAGGACTCATCTGATTGACAGCGAAAGGGGTGTAACCAGGTTAATTTATAAAAGTGTCAATTTCTATTGAAATCTACATTTATTTGTAAAACAAAAAAATAGGACACACTTTTCACACATAAAACACTTCAGTAAGTTAAAGTGCTTTAGGGGTCTGGAGTGACCCTTTTAGTATTGTGAAGCTTTCAAGTTGGATATGTAGTGCAGGAGCACATGCACTCTAAGCAGTGTTGGATTTTGCAGAGTCACCAAAGTCAAATAATTGGAGTGGCAGGCAGGAGAGGGGCAGCACTGGCAGTACAGATTGTGCAGTCTGTACCTGTAGTGGGAGTTAAGTGAGTAAGTCACAGCACAGCTGCTGGGTTGCCATGGCAACTCTCTAGATCAATCAACGTGCACCAAATAGAGTTTACTGTGGTCTGCATCCTCCAGATGTGCAGACCACATGCTCCCCTACTAGACCAGCACTCTGTCGCAAACCTGCTCAATAATTAAATTGTATATTTAAATTCACTCATTATAAATGACGACAATAATAATAAAAATATAATGTGTTCTAAGGTTCAAGTCACATTACAGCCTCACACACAATACACACATTCCATTCAGGCAACACCCTACCGTTTGTGTCTGTGTATGTAGTGGGGTTGCAGTGTGTGTCTCTGTGCATGCTGGCAATCCATAGTGTGTGTCTGTGTGTGATGGAATTTGGCTTCCTTTGTGCAGCACACTGTGTGCAATGCAGCCAATCATGCCACTTACTGTTGCTGTATCCGCAGTGGTGTGACATCTGGCTGGAGTGCAGTGTGGACTACCTCCTAGCTCTGCTCCTCATGTCCTCACCACTGCTTGTCCAGTCCTGACTCCTTCCCTGCTCTGGCTACCAACTCCTGTAAGGAGCTCTGTGCACCTTACTCATGTGCTGCAGTCCCCCTGCGTGTCTGGCTATCTGCCCCTACGACCAGGAGACCGCTTAGCCAGTCCACAGCCTTGCATCAAAGTGTGTAACTAAAGTAACTAAATAATGCACACTTTAGTGAACAGCACTGTGACTTTTCCTGGCTATTGTAGTCAATGTGTGTTTTCTTTGCATATTTACTCTCATAAATATGCTGACCTGTCTTATTTTTTAACAAAATTTACAATAAATTGCACATTTTAGGAAAATTTCCATTTTTATGAAGACCTATTAAAATGTATATAATATTTCCTGTTGTGGTTAAATAAGGTAGCACAGCATCGTACAGTTTACTGGGGTTCTATACTAGCACTGTTAACTGTAGCCTACATCCCTGTCCCTCGCACCTATCACCACATGTGCTCTGAGTTGGTGAAATGGACCAATTAAAGGCTTCTCTATAAGAAGCATGTGATTGGACTGCAGGATGCCGCAGTGACGTTGCAGGGGGAGCTGATGTCAGTGTCAGGAGATTCATGAAAGTTTAGCAGGGTATACTGCAAATGGAGAGGGTGACCTTCTTCATAGTGCCCAATAGGGCATTTTACACTGGGAATTACCGCTCCCCTCCCTCCCCGACAAAAAAAAAATACTATATAATATATAACATTTATTAAATATTTTTTTTAAATATTTTTTTTAAATAGTATAATATAATAATTTCTATGCTTAACTAGTGCAACTAAACAAAAATAGTTCATAATAGATTCACTCACCAGTTCTAAACTTCTAAAATTTGTTTGTTTATATATTTTATAATTTTATTCTTTAGTTGCTAATATTTATTTCTATACACGAGAGACGCAAAGAATGTCAGACATGCTCACAGATTTAACCTACATGCTGATCAATAGATGCTACTATATACAGAAAATGATACATAAGTCAAAATATGTTATGCCCCCTATATATTTTTTTATAATTTTCAGGAAAATATATTCCTGTCTTGCTTTTATACAGAAAGAAATCTAAATTAATGCAATTCTGCTTGAGATAGAATATCGTTTTCTAATAATGCAAATGAACCTAAAACATTTCATATCTTTTTATAAGCTTCCAAAACGAATGCTGAAGAACGGAGATACAAAATTGTCCACCTGCAGGAGTGTGACAAGGATAATATAATTTTCCTTCAGGCACTATATAATGCTGCACAAAAGCAAATATTATGTAGCCATAATTCATTCTTATAAATGTCTTCAGAGACATAATATGCAGTAATCATGATAAGGCTGACATGAATTGTTTATGGCAGAACCATCCTACTGGTTCACTAATAGCCAAACACAGAAAATATGGATAGAGTTGAGCGGACACCTGGATGTTCGGATCCGGCAGGCTCGGCTGAACTTTGAAAAAAAGTCCGGGTTTGGGCTCGAACTTGACCCCGAACCCAAACCCCATTGAAGTCAATGGGGACCCGAACTTTTGGCCACAAAAATGGCTCTAAAAAACCTGCAGCCTTTCAAAACGCGTCATTAACTCGCCGAACTCCGACCCGAACATACAGTGATTTGTACGTGTTCGGGTCCGGGGTCCAAAAAGCGTAATGTTCGGTACGAACCCGAACTTTTCAGTTTGGGTTCGCTCAACTCTAAATATGGACTTTATATGTCCTGCCAAATCCCTCCCAGCATCTGCGTCTGACAGATTACCAGATTAAAACCATATAGGAACACTGGGTTTTTGAAATTTAATAAGCAGAAAGTCCTACATATGTTTTATTTGAATTATATAAAGTGTGTTCAGGTATTCATTTAAGAAGACGGGTGACTACACCAGTATTGATATTTAGAAAACCTCTTAAGCAGAGCTACCTATTGGTTTTTGTACCCGGAAGATCGCAGATAAATTCCATCCAAAACACTAAATGATCAAATGTTTCAAAGTTTATTCTTTTTGTTCATATTCCCCCATTCCACAGCAACAACCTTGAGCTTTATCCAGTGAGTATGTAACATTCATGTTTGATTAGACAATAAGACACTAAGAGGTGCTGTAATAAAAAGTAGGAAGTATTTTAGAATGAAGGAAGTGGGACAGAGGGGTGTAAACTACAGAATATTGCAAAACAAATAGGAATATAAAACCTTTACGTAAAATATTAAATAAGTTAATATCTAGATATTTGGAATTTTAGAAGATAAACCCCATTTTCCAACAGACATTATTGCCTAATATTACATGATGACATGAATGATCTGTTTAGCCCAGGGGTAGGCTACCTTCAGCACTCCAGATGTTGTGGACTACATGTACCATCATGCTCTTACAGCCATAACGCTGGCAAAGCATCAGGTGAGATGTAGTCCACAACATTTGGAGTGCCAAAGGTTTTCTATCTCTGCGGATGGGGAGGCAGTGGGCTTAAAGCGGCACTGTCATGCCGAATCCTGGTTTTTTTTTTTAACCCCCTTCCGGCCTCCACTATCTCTGACACCCTGGTCACCCCAAATACCCCTTTATTCCTTATTTTCTGCCCCGATCTTTATTCAGGGCGCAGCCATCTTTGTGTGGGTAGATGAAGTCCCTGTGGGACACATCATCAGCCCACACTAGATAGACTGTGAGATTCCCAAAATAATTTTCCCACGCTGTGTAAAATGACACAGAGCACTGTGATTGGATGGCTTGAAATCCATCCAATCACAGTGCTCTGTGTCATTTTACACAGTGTGGGAAAGTTCTTTGGAATTTTCCCACGCTGTGTAAAATGACAAAGAGCACTCTTAAAACAACCAATCAGAGTGTTCTAATCCTAACTGCAGGGTGGGGCAAGGCTTTATAAACTTTGACCCGCCCTGCGGAGCTCAGTATGCGGCGTGCCCTCGAAGGGTGAAGATGGATTATGTTTTTTTAACGTCGGATTTTTTATTTTTCGTCTGGATTTTTTTTTTTGCACTCGGTTTTTTTATTTTATTTTAAGTTTGACGGGTATGATGGCTTTTTATTTGGCCTTTTTTGGGGCTGAAAAATTAAGATTTTAGAAAAAAGAAGACGTCAAATGGTAAGTTTAATTTTTCTTTACAGGTTAGTTATTTTATTCCCCTCACTATTTTTAGGGTGAGGGGGGTAGGAAGGGGATAGTTTGATTTGGGTGGGGGGGTAACTAGGGGCTTGGGACCCCTAGTCACCTTGATTGGGGGGAATTTTCATTTAGGGCCCCCACCCGCCGCTCAGGGGTGGGGGACAGGGGGGGAGGACAGTAGGTCCCCCCTATCTTTATTTAGGGCCCCCACCCACCGCTCAGGGGTGGGGGCCAGGGGGGGAGGACAGTAGGTCCCCCCTTATTGTTTTTTTTAGGGCCCCCACCCGCCGCTCAGGGGTGGGGGCTGGGGGGAGGACAGTAGGTCCCCCCTTATTGTTTTTATAGGGCCCCCACCCACCGCTTAGGGGTGGGGGCCAGAGGGGAGGACAGTAGGTCCCCCCCTATCTTTATTTAGGGCCCCTGTGTCCTAACATTAGGTATATCTGATTTCCCCCAGGTAGTTGTGAAAACAGTATAGTCCAGTAGGTGGCACCAGGTGTTACAGTTTAATGTACTTCAATTACTTTTCAAACACAAGCAGAATGAAAACAACATAAATAACAACAATAGCGAAACATACTTTCAGAATGTTATTCCAATGGATTTTAATTCAACTTTATTTTAGTATTTCCAGGAAAATCGTATTTACCATTACTGTAATACGGAAAGAATTGGAACATAATTCTAGCACCGGTAAAATTAATTATTGTATGCCTTTTCTTGGGAAGTGCAAGGACATTGAATCCTTCAAGCTATTTTCCAAAAAAGTGTTTAAAAATGTTATTTTCCGTGTCCTATTATGTGACACTGTTTTTGATAGGACAAAGATGAATGGCACTAGATCTATATATAAATATTTTGTTGCGAATATGCAGAGTTGTTGACGTTCAATTTCTTCTCATATGTTAAACCCCAAAAGATTTCTCATATACTATACCGTTCATTTATTATCTGCTGATTCATGGCATGTCACTCGAGATGAAGCAATAATTGAAAGAAAAAAAAGCATCCTAACACCTACAGTTTATTAAAGTGGTTATGGATCAGGGAGTGTCATGGTAGTCACCATCACCAGAAACTGCAGACAGACCATTGATGTAGAAGTTTTTGGGCGTTTTTGTCAAAACACAGATCCTCTGTAGCTATCTTTATGGCAACGGTAGAAGACTGCAAACTCTGGGGTGGGGTGCAGGGACGTATTAGCCACGAGGCAAACAAAGCATTTGCCTTGGGCGGCACTTTCCAGGGGGCGGCAAAAAAAGCCTGGCAGCTAACAAACAATCCAGGCAGGCGGGTGGCGCTGGCGAGGGAGCACTGATTAGTGAGGTCTCTGCTCAGCTCCCTTGCACGCCGCGGAGTGATGCCGGGAACTGGAATATGACGTCATATTCCGGCTCCTGGCATCACTCTGCAGCGCCCGAGGAGGATCAGTGCTACCTCACCGCCTGCAGTCACCGGCTGGCTGCCCACTGGACCCCAGGGAAAGGGAGAACTCCCCCCCCTCCCCCCCCTTCCAGCATTCCCAAAGGTAAGGAGGCTGGGGGAATTGAATTTAAAAAAACAAAAATGTGAGTGTGTGTGTGTCTGTTAGTGAGTGTGTGTGTGTGCCAGTGAGCGAGTTTGTGTGTCTGTTAGTGAGTGTGTGTGTGTGCGTGCCAGTGAGCGAGTTTGTGTGTCTGTTAGTGAGTGTGTGTGTGTGTCTGTTAGTGAGTGTGTGTCTGTTAGTGAGTGTATGTGTCTGTTAGTGAGTGTGTGTATGTGTCTGTTAGTGAGTGTGTGTCTGTTAGTGAGTGTGTGTATGTGTCTGTTAGTGAGTGTGTGTCTGTTAGTGAGTGAGTGAGTGTGTGTGTGTCTGTTAGTGAGTGTGTGTGTGTGTGTGTCTGTTAGTGAGTGTGTGTGTCTGTTAGTGAGTGTGTGTGTCTGTTAGTGAGTGAGTGTGTGTCTGTTAGTGTGGTGTGTGTGTGTCTGCTAGTGAGTGAGTGTGTGTATCTGTTAGTAAGAGTGTATGCGTGTCTGTTAGCTAGTGTATGTGTGTGTGTATTTAGAAGGCAGGGAAGGGGGGGTTGGCAGGGGAGGGGGGCGCCTTAGTTTTGTCATGCCTAGGGCAGCACAAAACCAGGATACACCACTGGTGGGGTGGCTAAGAGTAATCTTCACAAACTATCACTGTCGTTCAAGCATGGAGAGATTTTAAGCCTAAACGGTATATTAACAACCCTAGTTTTTGTCAGACTGCTTAAGAACAGTTTAATAATAAAAAAAATTTTACATTTTTGAAAAGACTTCACCATAACCACTATAAAGAGCTGTATAATAAAACTTTAATTTCACTTTCATTCCAAGCACCATAATCACTGCAGCAAATGAATGCCTGCTCCCCATGTAGTTTAACCATTTTAGAATGGTGTGACTTCTTACCTGGGACCTGTCGGATGCTGCTCCTTGCCTCTATTCAGCCTTCCGGAGGGCCAAAAGCTGTCTGCCTGAGCTAAGCCTAGGGGTGCAGAGCTTAGCTCTTTGGGTGAGAGTGATAAATTGGCGATCTCAGCAGACCCTGCACTAGAAGAAGCTGTCAGTTCTTCGGAGGCTACAGAGAGGTAGGGAACAGCGCCTATCACAACCCAGATAAAAAGTCAAAACATTCCAAAACAGTTGGATTACTTACCCAGTGGGTTTATCAGGACATTCCTGGAACCATAACCACTAGAGCGCACCATAGTGGCTATGGTGCTTTAAGTGCTCCTTTCAGATAAAAGTTTTTGCCTATCTCAAAAAACATTTCCAATTTAAGTATAGTTTTATTATTAATTATTTATATTCAATATATTTGTCTTTCAGAGGAGATCCAGATAAGTGCGATATCTGGGGAAATAGCCCACTACATCATGCCGCTAACAATGGTCATGCCAACTGTGTGGCATTCCTGGTTAATTTTGGAGCCAATATATTTACCATGGATAACCAATTCCGTACACCACTCGATGTGGCTGCTTTAAAAGAACGCACAGACTGTGTTCGGATTCTGGATGGAGCTGCCAATAAACAAGTAGCCTTAAACCCCAAAAAAGTTGCACGATTGAAAGAGCAAGCTACTAAAGATGCCGAGAGGAAGATTAAGGAATGTGAAAAGCTACAAGACAGACATCAGAGTCAGATGAACAAGAACCATACAAAAAAAAATACTGGAACTTTAAGTTCCAAAGGAACTTTACCAAGCTCTACTGGTGCTCGTGTCTCAACTCCATCTACCATGTCCACCCTAACTAAGGGATTGAAGGACACACTGCAGCTGAAATTAAAAAAGAAAGATAAAAACACACTAGATAAAGGAACAACAAGCAACATAATCTTTGAAAAGGATGAAAATAGCAGTGGCCATCGTACTAAGGTAATGGATGTTTTCAATGAAAATGATGAAGATAACACGAAGATTGGAGATGACTCTTCAGATACAACAGAATCTATTTTCAATCGCCCTGGTCTTGGGAATATAGTTTTCCGGAGGAATCTAGCTGCTGATGCTAATACTAACTTCAACAGTACGTCCACCTTTCAAGATGATTTTGGTTTCAAAGTTCAAACTGAGTTGTTTACAGACGAGGCAGAGAATAGTAATGACTTAGACACGGACAATGGATTCAACATAACTTGGAATGAAGATGAGATGGAATTGGATGAGGAAGGGGAGACATCTCCTCTTCAAGTCTTTTTGGCATCACATGGTTTACTTGAATTACTCGGCATACTCATGAGAGACAAAATTGACTTGGATTCACTTTTGATGTGTTCTAACGAAGACTTGCAAAGCATTAACATACAGCTTGGACCAAGAAAGAAGGTTCTCAATGCAGTAGATAAAAGAAAGCAAGCCCTGGCTAAACCAGGAAAGATCAGTGACACTAAACTATAACATTCCAATTTGCCATGTTCTTTAAAATATCCAATATTATATTCAGTATATTGTGGCTAGTCAATATTCTGGCATATTTTCCAACTCCATAAATTAAATTTCCAGTTTTGAAGGTCCCATGAGAAACAAATTATCTACCTTACAGTTATGCCACCATCTCTTTTTCAGAATTCCATGCCTCATATTCTTCGTCACCTCCCGTTCTTTAAACTCCATTGTTATGCCATTCAATCCTACCTAAGTTATACCACAAAAATATTTTGTTCTGGAGGCAGAACATCCCCAGATTTTCTTCCTAACCATATGCTAAACCACACTTCTATGCTAACCCAAATTCTAAACCACACTTCCTTATTTCAATATATTCGCATCAGTAATTTATTCTATGTGTTAGTTTATCATAAAGCTTTGCATATGCAAGACCATGTCACAGCCCATTGTCTGGAGCTTCCTTAGATATTGAAACACATAATCTATGCTTCATGTCAGTGATGCACATGATTACCTCTTAGCACACACATTTTAACAATTTGTGCGTAAGTTCCAATCATTGGCTTTTCCTAGCCTAGTATAATATAAACGCCTCCACTCAATTTCTCAATTTTTTCAATTTAATAAGAGTGCAGAGTTAGAGGCGTATATGATATATTGATATAAATTATTACATTTCATCTTTTGCCTTTTGATTTTAATATGATTTACCACCTACAGAACTAATTCACCTTGCACATTGTGCATAATCTCCATTACGTACATATTATTGAAATGTCACTTTTGATTGAAACCGTCATATGGTAAAGATGTAACAATTAGATAAACACAATCGATTTTTATTTTATGATGTGAAGAAAAGAACATTTAGAGTAATGACCTGCTTATAAACAATGTAAGATTTTAAGTAGTCATTCATTCTTCAAATTAATGGAGACATTTATTTAAAGAAACAATTAGAGCAAAAAGCTGATAATTATCTAATGGTCTACCTCAACTGCAAGAGACATATCGGTTTTCATCTCTTCTAAATTGTCATCTAGCTGGAGAGCATTGTCCTTTAGAAATTGTAGAATTACACCATCTAAGCAACAAACAATTACTGTTTGTATCTGTCAGCATAATTGTCGCTTCTATTTTTTGCATGAATATGGTTTGAGGTTGTTAATCTCCTATAAACCTGGTAACTTTCACAAATGTTACTTATTGAACTGACAGGTACAGAGTGCAACAAAATAATTTTAACTAGTATTAACCATGATTGTTTATGATATCAAAAGTTTTGATCTTTAAAGGGACACTATAGGCATGTGCTGACTCTGCCCCTGATCTTCCTCCTTGACAGTCTTAAAGGACCACTATAGTGCCAGGAAAACATACTCGTTTTCCTGGCACTATAGTGCCCTGAGGGTGTCCCCACCCTCAGGGTCCCCCTCCCGCCTGGCTCTGGGGAGAGGAAGGGGTTAAACACTTACCTTTCTCCAGCGCAGGGCGGGGAGCTGTACTCCTCCTCTCCTCCTTGCTAGCGATGTCATCGGCTGAATGCGCATGCGCGGCAGGAGCCGCGCGCGCATTCAGCCGGTCGCATAGGAAAGCATTTACAATGCTTTCCTATGGACGCTTGCGTGCTCTCACTGTGATTTTCACAGTGAGAAGCACGCAAGCGCCTCTAGCGGCTGTCGATGAGACAGCCACTAGAGGCTCTGGAGGCTGGATTAACCCTCAGAATAAACATAGCAGTTTCGCTGAAACTGCTATGTTTATATAAAAAAAAGGGTTAATCCTAGAGGTACCTGGCACCCAGACCACTTCATAAAGCTGAAGTGGTCTGGGTGCCTAGAGTGGTCCTTTAATCAGTACAATGCTTTCCTATGGGAAAGCATTGTGATTGGTATTGAGCAACACTTCTGATGATGACAACCAAGCAGGCAGATCAGGTGCAGAGACAGCAACAGACTGGAATAAAGGTAAGAGTATAATATATTTAGGCAGGGCAAGGAGGTGTCGGGTGGCTAGATGGTGTTTTTAGTACTATAGGGTCAGGAATATATTTTTGTGTTCCTGACCCTACAGTGTTCCTTTAAATATGCCATGTCTTGCCAATTTAGTGATTAGCATAACAATTTGTCTTGACGTAAGGTCTGCACAAACATATTATGATGACCGTAAAGAATGTAATTGATTCTAACAAGTTTAAAAGGAACACTCCAAGCACCAAAATCCCTACAACAAGCAGTAGTGTTTATGGTGCAATTAGTCCTCTAGGGCCACCCCTATCCCAATTGTAAGTAGTCAAATATGTTAGAATACTTTGACTTCTTACCTGGGGTTCCCTGAGAATCACTCCATACTTCCGATAGAGACCCATAAGGTCCAAAACTCTCATTTTTGTATTCCTATGCTATAGAATTGCTTTAAACAGGCATAGTCATGATTACAGATGTCAGGATAATAGGCAGAGCGTGGGACTACCTACACAGCACATGTAACAGACTTGATGATATTTACAATTATAAAGAAAATGGAATTCAAATCAAAATATTTCATTATTCTTTCCATCCTTTTAAACAGTGTTTTACAGTAATAGTTTGTGCTTGACTTAAATCAACTAAATCTACAGAGAACAGAGATTTATTTGTAATCTCAAGTTACAGGAGGCAGACTCACATACCTCCCAAGTATTCTTTTTTAGAAAGGACAGTTCCTTTATAGAACTCTAGTCCTCTGGTGTATAGTTCTAAATTACATTTTCAATTACATAAATCAGAAGGTCATATAAACTGCCAGTGCTCTATAACAGACCTAGCCGTCACAACACTCTGGTATGAGAGGAACAGATTCAAGGTATAAAGCCACAGGCACCCGACAAGACCCAGTTAAGTTGTCAAACCATACTAAAATAAGTCTAACTCTTTACCTTGGAACCAGGGCACTCCTGGTTCCACAACCACTACAGTGGGCTGTAGTTGTTATGGTGTTTGCAGTGTTCCTTTAAGATCAAGGTTTCCTTCTTTGGACATACAATCCAATATTTCACATCACCAAAATGCTCTACTTAACATATACATATAAAGTTTATATACAGAAATATAGTTAACACAATTGTGTAAATATACTGGTTATGATAATTACCCAGTTTAGCTCCAGAATTAAGACATTGAGCTAGGAATTTATATTAGGTATTGTATTATGTAAAAAGCAGATGCTATTTGACGGTTTTCAGTTTGGTTCCAGGAAAATGCAAGAGTGAAAATTTTCTGTCCAAACACAAGAAAATTAAATGATTTGTCTAATATTAATATATATATATATATATGTATTTACATTCACTAGCATTGTATCACATCTACAACAATGATTAGTTCTCTTTATGAAATGTACAAATCTCATCTACAAAACTATTTAAAAGTATTTATTTAATAAAAGAAAATTAGATATCATTTTGATATGCAGTGCGCTATATATTTGTCTTGTACATCATTCAATAAGAAACAGGGAAAGGTTTATTGCGTTAAAAAAGAATCATTAAAAAATTAATGGGGCAATTGCTGTTTAAATCACATGTCATTTTCTAACCTGTGCGTTAATTTTTACTAGCCTGAAGAGTGCTAAATGAATTGAATCTTTATTAATTCTCATTATTTTTTGTCCAAGAATCATATACAAGTTTTGCAGAAACAGTGTCTTCGATTGCCATACCTACAAAATAAAAAAAGACAAAATAAAAATCTGAAATGAAAGTAAAATAGAAGTTTAATACGAATTGTAATAATTAAATGTGTTATTGTATTGACTACGCTCTACTTCCTGATGTTATGTAAATAAACGTTTAAAAAAATTCCAACACGTGTACTCTAAGTTATTCCTTCTTAATTGAGTAATTTCTGCATATTACACACATACATATATATTATATACATATAGTTAAAAAGTCCAAAGAGTGGCACGGTGTTTTGGACTTGGGTGCTCAGTCACTGGCTTACAAAATCCACAAATAATATTATTATATATTATTATTATTGGTATTTATATAGCGAGAGCCAGCATATAGCGCTTTACAATATTATCAAAGGGGGAGATATAACAATAAATGAGACAATTACAAAAACTTACAGGAACATTAGGTTGAAGAGGGCCCTGCTCAAATGAGCTTGCAGTCTTTGGAGGTGGAGCGTAAACACAACAGGACAGGAGGTGTAACGAAATCCCCTATTCACAGCCGTCACGAACAAGCCTGTTCGGTTATTTGGAACATTACCATAGGATTTCGTGAAATTGTCAAATAAGGCGAACAAACTACCGAACCACCGACCTCCCACTGAGGTCGTGTGGCGCTCATTGACCACCCTGACTGTTGCGGTTAACCACAAACTAATTGGTATAGCGGGTGGTCCGCGTTCACCTCCCGAACACGTGGCAATCGCCATTTTGGTTTTGTCGAACGCGCAGCGGCAAATGGCGAGGATTCCCTGGAACTGATTTCAGCGACCTATTTTGTCGAACGCCGCTGCTACCTTCACCCATCCTCGTTCATACGGTGGAACCATTCGAAGGAAGGGATAATATTTCATTCGCGCATTAAAGTATGCGAACGTGGCTGACCCCAGATAGCTATAATAGAGGACTGGCAATCGGTTACAAATACACGAATGGCCAAGGACAGCCAAACTTCAGTCGACGATTCTGGGACCTGTGTTCGTGGGATCTGAGCGCTATTCGCCTAGAATATGCACTCAGATCCAAGCTATCTGGGGATGTGTGGAACTTAAAGTTTATGTTATATAAAAAGAAAGTTATGTATTTTTATTCTGTTTTTGCTAAATATAAAAAGGCATGTTTCTTTACTTCTGGAGATAATTACAGCCCTCTTTGCTACCTTAATCTAATTATCTCCAGGATGGGAAAGAAGGAGTGATTTGTGTAAAGGGGAGTGTTTATCCTATAGCCACTGTGATTGGCTACTGTATTACTTCTGTCCCAGTCTTCCATCTGGTCCCCTAGGGGAGTGTCCACCAGGTGGAAGACCTGCATAAATTCCGGGCGGGTAGCCCACAGTAAATCAGATCGTTTTACCCCTTCATGAAGTCTCGACTCATGTTTGGGGAATTGGAAGCTATAATCACTCTGTTCCAGCGGGATTTCGGGAGAAGCTGCAAGGATCATCGCTGCACGTATGCAGGGATCCTTTACAGGAGGTAGCAATCAAACAAGGTGGAGTGAAGCAGAGCTGGAGGAGAGAGTAGAGTGTTGCCCTTTAGGAGAGAGCAAGGGACAGGTATGTGAGGTAGATGTTACTCTGGGAGGCCATAAGCTTTCCTAAAGAGTTGGGTTTTGAGGCACTTTTTAAATCACTGAAGACTAGGGGAGAGCTTGATGGTGGTAAACAGGCTATTCCAAAAGAAAGGAGCCACCTATCAGAAGTCTTGCAAGCGTGATTTGGCCGTACGCATGTGAGCAGCAGACAGGAGAAGGTCATGGGCAGAGAGGAGAGACCGAGAAGGGGCATACCTACAGATCAGTGAAGAAATATAGGAGGGGCTAGAATTGGTCAGTGCTTTATATGTGTGGATTAGTACCTTGAATTGACTCCTATAGGATACAGGAAGCCAATGTAAGGACTGACAGAGGGGAGAGGTGTGAGAGGAGCGACAGGAGAGGAAAATCAGTCTAGCTGCAGCATTCATTATAGACTGTAGAGGGGCAATACGACTTGTGGGATGAGAGAGTTACAATAATCCATGTGAGAGATTACTAGAGCATGGACAAGCTCCTTAGTAGCACCTTGTGTAAGAAAGGGGCGGATGCAGGCTATGTTTTTAAGGTGGAATCTACAGGATTTGGTAACAGACTGGATGTGAGGCTCAAATGTGAGGCCAGAATAAAGTATAACGCCAAGACAGCGTGCTTGCAAGGATGGACTGATGTAGGTACCACTCACTTGAAGGACGTGCAAAAGAGGAGGATCAGTATTAGGAGGAGGAAATACAAGGAGTTCAGTTTTAGAGAGATTAAGTTTCAAAAAACAGGAGGACATCAAATCAGAGATGGAAGAAAGGAGAGGTCCGGGGAGGAGAGGTATATCTGAGTGTCATCAGCGTACAGGTGGTATTGGAATCCAAATGAGGTAGTAAGTTTGTTTAAGGCAGTATAAAGAGAAAATAGAGGGGGACCAAGTACAGAGCCTTGGGGGACTCCAACAGAGACAGGACGAAGGAAGGCGGTATCATTAGAAAATGAGACACTGAATGAGCATTGGGAGAAATAGGAGGAAAACCAAGAGATGCTGAGATGTATGCACATATACATACATACATTCATATATTTACATATACACACACACTGGCACACATACACAGACACATAGGTACACACATGCAGTTACATAGAAACAGTAAGAAGGGGAGGGGGGTGATTGTGAGGGGGTGATTGTGAGAGTGAGGAGGGGGGTAGGGATGGTGCAAGTGGGGTGAAGTGAGAAGGAGCTCAGGGAGGGGGTGAGGATGAGAGAGAGGGGGGTGATTGAGAGAGGGAGGGAGGGTGATGAGGAGGGGTGGATTGTGAGGGGGTGAAGGAGGGTGAGGGGGAGGGAGTGACAGAGAGGGAGGGGGTGACTGTGAGAGGGAGTGGGAGTGATTGTGAGAGGGGGTGATTGTGAGAGGGAGGGAGGTGATTGTGAGAGGGTGGGATTGTGAAGGGGTGATTGTGAGGGGGGGGTGATTGTGAGAGGGTGATTGTGAGAGGGAGGGGGGTGATGAGGAGAGGGAGGGGGGTGAGAGGAGAGGGAGGGGATTGGGAGAGGGAGGGAGGGTGATTGTGAGAGGAGGGGGGTGAAGGTGAGAGGAGGGGGGGGTGAAGGGAGTGGGAGGGGGGTGAAGGTGAGTGGAGGGGGGTGAAGGTGAGAGGAGGGGGGTGATGAGGGTGATGAGGAGAGGGGGGGTATTGTGAGGGGAGTGATTGTGAGAGGTGGGGTGATGAGGAGAGGGAGGGGGGTGATGTGATGAGGAGAGGGGGGGTGATGCAGGGGGGACTACAAAATTACCTTAAATCCCTGGTGGTCCAGAGGGGGCTGCCTGTTTGTCCGGTGGGCTCCCTGGTGGTCCGGTGGCAGTCATTTCTGGTCTGCAGCTCCACGAGACCCAATCAGAGCATTGCCGTGGTAACCCGCGGCAACGCTCTGATTGGGCAGTGCTCGCGAGACACATGGTCTGCAGCTCTGCACACCCTCATAGTGAGTGGCACCCAGGGCGGACCGCCCCCCCCCCATGCCTCTCCCCTTACGCCACTGAGTCAAGGAGAGGAGATCCAGGGGGACGACAGATAATGGCAATGTTAGCAGAGATGGGTTTGAAAAGGCAAATGGAATGAAATTCAAATGAAGGGAAAGAGAGGGAAGGGGGGGGTTAGAGGTTTTAAGGAGCAGTGAGGTGAGAGCAGAAACCCTACACCACCACCTTTGCTTTCAGAGTGTCTTGGGTTGTGGAAAAATTGAAGACCACCAAAGGATAAAGAGGCAGGGGTAGCGGTGTCAGAGGGAGAGAGCCATGTTTCTGTTAAGGCTAGGGAACGAGAGATGAAAAGGTCGTGCACAGCAGTGGATTTAGTAACACTGCAAACAGAGAGTGCATTCCAGAGGGCAGTATGGAAGGAGGATTTAAAAGAGTGACATGAGATGGGTACGAGATTATTGTAATTCCTGGAGTTAGAAGATCCAGCTCACTCACTAAACACCAACTAAAAAGCAAACATTTTATTTTATTTTTTTTAACACTTGTTAAAAAAAATAATAGAAAAAGCCCTTCCTAAAACTCTGTTTCTATTTAATAATTATTAGTAAAGGGGCAGCTATCATTGATGTTGGGTACTAAGTAACTCAGTCACTGATCTACCATTTGAGAAAAATGGTAAATAGCAATCAGCAATCAGCACTACAACACTAGCCTATTACTGACTGCAAAGTGAAATGGAGATTTTTTTTTTAACCTCAATTCTGCCTCAAACTACTCATGCTCTTTTGAAAGAACATCAAGTTTAAACTATACATTGTCCTGGCAGTTCTGATAGCAAATGTATAGATCGGGACAAAAACCTATTTACAAATAAGTATTTCTCCCACTTGTCAGTCAAATCTTCGGCTTACACTTTATGCCGAAGATTTGACTGACATTGGAAAGCAGAAAAGACCCCCTACAGATGATCCTTTTGTTCTTCCAAGCATAGCAACCACAGCACATTGTTGCGGTCGCCGGCCCGCCATGCGCCCAACCGATACGGCCTCGCCGACAGCTCGAGCTTACCTGCTCATCGGCGAGCCAGCAACCGCTCCCCCAGGTCTTCCGGGCCTCGCGCCCAAATTAAAGATGGCGCTGACCGCGTCTCCAAAAATTATAATAACGTGTGCATGACGTCACGACGTCAACGCACACACATGCATAGAGAGGGATATTTAAATCCCTAGCTCTCCCCAGTACCTTGCCTTGTCATGGTTTCCTGTTCCTGGTTTCCTGAGAGTGCTTTATCTTTGTGAATCTAAATTTTCCTGGTATCCTGATCTTGGCTTTTCCCTGGTTATTCTGAATTCTGGTTCCCCTGACTTGGCTTGTGTAAACGGTATTGTGTATTTTCTGGCTTCCTTGACCTCGGCTTTCCCTTTGACCATTCTCTGTCTCTAGCGTATTAGTCCTGCCATTCTAAGGTCCGGTTTACGCTCTGTCCTTTTATTTTCCTTTTCCTTCTTATGTATATGTTTACATAGTTTCTGCATGCTGGACCACACTAGTAGTCGTGACACACATGTGCTGTGGTTGCTATGTAAACACCCTGGATGTAGAGTATAGGAACCGGAATATGTCACTTTGTTCAGATACTAGGATGCTGGCAATGAAGCCAGTATGTCGGCGTCACGCAGGATGTGTGCCCTGCTTGGGGAAGCTTCCAAACGCATGAAAAATTCACAGAAAACTTGAGGAGGTGGGAAGGAATGACCAGTGGTGGGTGGTACACGAAGAGTAACACCGACAAGGCTCAGAAGATAGCGGTGCTGGGACAGAGGTGAGGTTAGTTTATCTTGATATTTTCCATTTAATACACCATGTATTTCTGTGATACATGATGTATTAAATGGAGCCGAACACGCTAGGGTCAGAAACACAAACATGTATTCCTGACCCTATAGTGCTAAACCCACTATTGAGGTGGCTTACCCCTCCCCCATTATCCCCCTTAAAAGGAATTAAAACTTATTTCCAGTGCCACGCGGGTCCACTGGCACTGGCCCCACCCCCTTGGTGACATCATCAGAATTGCCGATTTTTAGCCAATCCAATGCTTTCCCATGGGCAAAGCATTGGATTGGCTAAAATTGACAAGGGGCGGGCCAAACACTGTATTGGCCAATCAGCACCTCTTCATCAATGCATCTCTATGAGGAAAATTCAGTGTCCCCATGCAGAGCGTGGAGACGCTGAATGGCAGTGCTGCCTACTGTGCAGCACTGAGCCATGAAGCACCTCCGGTGGCCATCTGAGGAGTGGCCACTTGGAGGTGTCCCTAGGGGAAATGTAAACACTGCCTTGACTCAAATGCCTGAAGGCAATGATTATACTCACCAGAATAACTACATTTAGCTATAGTTGTTCTGGTGACTACAGTGGCCCTTTAAGGTAAGTAAAAATTTGGATTACAGGTTCACTTTAAGGCCTCAAAGTATTGTGGGTAATTCAAGGTGAACATCAAATTGGAGACCATAATATCAGATCTGGAAAAATTCCCTAAGTGCGCTATGCTACCAGCTTGGCTACATTGGCCTTAAATTTGAAATCCACTTTGAACTCACCTTAAACTCCTAACAATTCTCGCTGTAGTGAAAAACCTTGTTAGTGTTTACGGCAATACCTAGGACTTCGACCTTATTTACAGCAGGTGAGGATATCCATAAAAAAAATCATAAATTTCATGAACTGAAAGACATAAATGCATGAAAGACAAATTAACTCACCAACTGATTTAAAAATAGTTGTTTTATCCGACAGAGCAGGCTGGGTTCCTTTCAATATTTCTCCAATCTCAGCTTTTATAGCTGCCTAAAATACAAAGAAATTCACATTAGAGTACATATGGTCTCATGTCAGCTTTATGAACTATCTGCGCACCTTGGCCGCCCAGTAAATAATCAAAATCTGCTTATAAGCTGACACATTTTTAGCAGGACAGTTTAAGCACCAAAACCACCTCATCAAAATTAAGTGATTTTGGTGCGTAAATGCTGGCTCTGCAGGCTTGCAACCGAAAACAGTGCTGTTTATGTTACACTGCACTATGTATGTACTGTGTGCATCCAGTGCTTCTCTATGTGGTTTCAATGCTTTTCGCAGAGAAACATTGGGTTGGCGGACTGCAGAGATCGCAGTACATGTGCCATGTTTCTCAATGAGAAGCATCCGATTGGACAAAAGTCACCATGACTCATGACTTCACTGGGGGAGGATCAGGCTGCAGCGAGGAGACTATCCTAGCACTGGAATAAATGTTTTAAGTTTAATGTTGATTTCAAGTTAAAATATGGCGGCCATTATTATAAACAGCTTAAGGAACAAGTCTCGTTAAAAAAAAAAATAATAACACGTTATATTTATTATTATTTTTTTGTTTTAATTAGTGTGGTCCTTTAAGGATGAAAATGAGATGTAAGGAGGAGGGGTTGACTGAAAGCTTGATTTGCTCTTTGCGTATGAACCCATATTTTAGCCCATTTATCTGAGAATATCTTTCAAATCAATATGCTTTTCATGGACTTTTACCTGTGATATAACAATGTCTCCGGATTCCTTCGCAGCTGCCTCTTTGGAATCAACATAGAGAACACTATTTTTCATCAGAGTGTCATCCAGCTCCCTCCAATCAGGACGGCAAGCTCCTATAGCTGTAATGAAATATTACATAAATATAGGAAATTTATGGAAGAGCCTGAAAACAATAAACTCTGCCTAACTTACAACATTTATACATTTTATTAGGTTAATGCTATACTAGCGCTGTCTAATATACAGTAAACAGAATGGACATGGTCAACATCATCCCAACCTACTAAAGAATATATTAAGCTTTATTAAACATCATTGTTTTAACCATTTTCAGTTAATGGAGTACACAGAAATATTCCATCCTCTCTAGGCAGTTAAATAAAGGTATTTACTAATCTTAATGTAAAATGACCCTTCTCATTTACTCAAGTTTACAGTTCCATAATGCCCCTTCTGACAACAGCGACCCCAAACACCATTAAATACCTGCCGCAGGATCAGAGTTATAAGTAGGCTGTTTGGCTTCCAGGACGGAATTGTTTGCAGGTATCGTCCCCGAAATAAAACAAAAATCCCCATTTTACCCCTTTTGTGTCGGTTAACCCCTTTTACCGCCTTGTGTTTCTTAACTTCCTAAACCATTGTGTGACTATTAACTTCACCTTACCCATTTATCTCATAACCTCCCCTTAAACCTTGTGTGTCTCTTAAAGGACCACTCCAAGAAGGACAACTCTAAAAATAACATCACTGTATGGTTGACACAATCCCGATGGATGGATTCATGCATGCATGCTTTATTTATGCATGTAGTCATAGGGACTACATCTTTAAAAAGCTTGCAAAAGCTATGGTTCTTATGATAGCAGCCTTTGCGGGTCTTCTCCTTTTACCCCGGAAGAGATTTTCAGGCTCTTCATCGGGAAATAACCAATCAGACATCTATTATTTCTTATGGGGAATGAATGTGGCAGGCACAATGTACAAACTTATGGAGTTATCTGCTATGTCCTCTACTTAATTTTACTCTTTCAGTTGTAGTAAATAACTGAATAATTTGCTATATTTATAAAAACAAATGGTTCCGAAACTATTTGTTTCAATTTGTTATGGATCCGTTCGTTGTTGCTTAGCTTTCTGCTCTTTCTGAAATTTGAGGCTTCCAAATTGGGCCAAATTCAGACGAAATTCTATTTGGAATGAAACTAACTGCATATTTCTATTCCTAATCCATCATGCTCTCTTATCCCTCTTAACCCTTGTTTGTCTGTTAAACCATCTATCCCATCCTACCTTCCAGCAGGGTATCATTCAGTGATTGATATTTAGAAGGATGATGATTGATGGATGATGGATGATGTGTGACATTTAGGGCCGAAATAAGCATATCACAATAATTTGCCATTTACAATAAGCTTAATAAGGGTGTTCACTCTGAACTCCAAGTGGAAAAGATCTCAGTACATCCTTGGACTGTTCCCATTTCTACACTACATATTCAAAGACTGCTAAGGGAAATATATAATATCACTAGAAACAGAAATACACTAAATCCCAGTGTGTAACAATCAAATACTGAACACTTAAACACCTGTGTGGTATCCCATAAAACCACACCAATAGACAAAAATAGTAAAAATATACAATTTGCAGGAACTGCACACTATATGGAACAGACTAACTATTTGAAAAAACTATTTATTGAAAAAGGATACGAGAAATCAGATCTTGGGAAAGATTTGGAAAATGTGAGAAAAATACCTAGAAGAGGACTCATTGAATATAAAGAGAAAAAGAAAACTCAGAGGAAAGATAAAGCCTTGTTTATTTGTAACTATAATGGAAACAATAGAAAAGTTAATCAAGCCAACAAAAAATATTGGCACATCCTCAGGGATGATCCAATTTTAAATAATATTTTACCACCTAAACCAAAAGTAATCTATAGAGGGACAAGAAATGTTAAAAATATCTTGCATAGAAACCACAAAACCTTACCACTGTTTAAGTAATCTTTTGGGCTTCTTTGGATGTGGGAGCGGAAAAAAAAAGTAAGAAAAAACACCTAATAGATCTAGACCACGTTATAAACAAGAAACATAAAGTTAAAGATAATCTCACATGCCATTCCAAGGGCGTCATTTATGTTTTAAGATGTCCATGCAATCTCCTCTACATAGGGCGAACCATTAGACAACCAATGTAAGGATTGCCGAACATGTGAGGAACATAAAAAAAGGTTTAGAAACTCACAGGGTTTCACAACATTTCAAGCCAGTACACAATCAGAATACAGAGGGCTTATTCTTCTGCGCTATAAAAGAAGTACAGAAAGATTGGAGAGGAGGGGGCTTCATTAATAAGTTGGGCAAGGAAGAAATTAAATTTATATTTAATTTTAACACCCTTATCCCTTTTGGGCTCAATTCTGATTTCTTTTATTTATTTTAGAATGACATTATTTTTAGAGTTCTTCACTATATTAGAATAAGAAGAGAATGCCACAATATTTTAAATGTACGTTTTTCAGCATCCTCATTCCACTCTCCTTGATAAGGCTGCTTTAAGATTGTTTAGACATTAAGGAATTACTATATTCCAATACCATATTTTAATTCTATTTTTTTAAATTTTCATTCCATTACATAGCAAAAACAAAGGAAATGTGGGATACGGCTGTGTAGTATCTAAAACAAGGAATATAAAAAAACACATATAGTGTAATACAGTAAATAATAAATACAGTGCGCCAGAATGATGTACACTCACAGGATAAAGACGTATGAAAGCGTTCAAAGGTGCCTCCCCGATGTAGATGGGTGGCTATGTAGTCCCCATGTCCACTCCAGACAGTGAGATGTCAAATCAGGACTCCAAACAATGGAATTGAGGTAAAGAGTATCAAAATGTATTATAAAAAGGTGGATAACGGGGGCGGGGCCTGACAGCCATGCTGACCGGTCGCGTGCGGGAGAGGCTCTTGCACAATCTGGCCATCTGGGCCGAAAACTACGGAACAAACTGCTCTTATTTCAGCCTAGAGGTACAGCAAAGTGAGCAGGGAGCTGTGGGCACTACTGCAGACCCCAAGATCGGGAGCTTTGGAGACCCTGAGGGTTATACACAGCTTTGGAGCCTGCGGCCTACGCGGGAGAGAAGCGGGGTGGACGGCCGCCACCCTGCTCGATAATCTAGCAGCCACACAGCAACCCTGTGACACTCCTCACAGGCCCCGTCCCCCCCCCATGGCCCGGGGGGGTTATCCCGGTCCACAGTGGAGAGATCTGACACCATCAGGAGCAGATCCCACGGACCTTGGTCTGCTCTCGGACACCCGGGCTCTCTAAACAAAATGGCTGCCTCACAGTCTGAACTAGAAAAGCTGACTACCTGCAGACAGGAACCACAACACTGCTAAATGCTGGCTGGAGCACCCACTCCTGGACTGTCTAGCCACACCAGCAGAGGAAATGGCAGCCCAAGCCTTTGTGCCAGGCAACAGGGTCCGGCTGCCCTCCTGGACATTGAGACGTGAGAGGATGTTCCTCACATCGCAACCCAACGCCAGCACGAATTACACCAGCCAGGACCCCCAGATACAGGACCAGGCCTTAAACCGACGGAGCAGTACTTACCGAACTCTCCTACTTGCTGGAACCCTGCCATCACTTCCTGCATACAAATCAGCAACGGGAGTGTGCCGAAGATCGCATACCTGAGGGGACTGTGTTCTGTCTTTGTCTGTAGCACCCAGGTTGACTTTTTGTTTCTCACCACCTCTTCTCATTATTTTCGCACTGCACTAAGTCCCCCATGTCACACACCACTATACTTGCACTGTATATTTCATAGCGACAAACTGATCAACGAGACTGTTCTTAAATGTCTAGAATCTTAATACCTCACCTACTGTGTTTACGCTGCTCAGGCCTGTCGTGATTACATGGAATGTATGTCTTACAAGCAAACACAAATAGGCATAAAGGTGGTGATGCTTAGATGGTACTGCGAGGATACTCCACAAAATAAGCGTGATCAAAATCTATACTTAAAGCATGTTAACCTAAAGAGTCATGTGACTAGCCAACTGTATTGCTATTGACTGCTCTTCTGACTCCATTACTTATTTTTCAATAACATAAAATGTGCATTATTTCTCATGTCACACAATTGTTAAGCTCTACCTGATGTTAAGCATGCACCAGCTGTTGTGGCTGTGCAACCCTGTATGTCTCACTGATGCACAAATAAAATAAAGAATTGAAAAAAAAAAAAAAGGTGGATAACAACCACCAGCATAAAATATAGAAAGGAATATAGGTCCTACGCGTTTCGCCCCAGCAATGGAGCTTCCTCAGGGACCAATGGCAGTTATATTCCAACAACAGTAAAAACACAAATGAAACAAATGATCTAATACCCCCCTGTTAGAGTCTCTATATATAGGGCTAATCCCTCAGTTGATTGGTGGATCCGTGGGTGTTGTCGTCTTTCCGTCAATCCTATAGGTGCACAAGTAGTGCTTTCCAGGTGTGTAGTTCCGTCTGATCTTTTTCACGCTTGAATTTGGTGCCCTTGTTTTGTGTCGAAAACGTGTCCATCGGATCATGCATTTATTTCAGGGAGACGAAAATAAGTGAATAAGGCATATTGCCCTCTTGTGGACGTCCCAAATAGTAATATATATAAGATATTCATAAAGGAAGAAAAGCAGTTACAATCTACTAAAAGAAAAAAACAGAATTAATATAAACACTACATATGAAATTATGACATAGTATTCATATTGAGAGTGTTTAATTACAGTGAAGAAAAATAACATTCTTTTCATAATCACAAGTTTCACTCTAAATTCTAACAATGTTTGATGGGATTTTCGCACAAATATTGCTATTTGAGATAACTAACTCTGCCACATGAGAATGTTATTTTTCTACATAGCCACCCATCTACATCGGAGAGGCACCTTTGAGCGCCTTCATATGTCTTTATCATGTGAGTGTACATCATTCTGGCGCACTACATTTATTATTTACTGTATTACACTATATATTTTTTTATATTCCTTGTTTTAGATATTACACAGCCGTATCCCACATTTCCTTTGTTTTTGCTATATACTACTATAAGGTCGTTGGTGGGTTAACGATCTTGGGAGGCTGTTTCTTTAACTAGAGATAAGTATATTTTATACTTATATCACTACACTGGTTACACTTTGTAGTGCATGTTTCTATGCTATTACCACATTATTTTGAACACCTTTATGTATTCATATCAATGCACATTACTGTACATTCAAATATATATGTTTTTTTCTTTGTTCACTTTTGTTCTTATACATTATTATGGACGTTATGAGAAAACTATTTATAGAACATTTCACATTAAAGATCTCATTGGGCTCCAAACATCAGATGTGGAACGCAGTGTTGCGTCACAGCACTGTGCGTGAGAGATCACTCGGACCACAGACAATACGAGGAGGTGTTCCGAAAAGGATAAGCGACGTCAGCAAAACACCGCCCATGGAACTGAACAATGTGTTTCATTTGCACGGTGCATTCCACTTGGACGTGAGCGCACAATGTAGACGTCATACGCAAGAAACCTACACCGCAGGAAGTACAGGACGGCTGCGATTTACAAAGTATTTAAAAGGACAAACGATTGGAAAGACTCCATGCAACAACTGAAGAAGCCTCCCAGAGAGCACAAACGCATTTTGGTTTGTAAGATTTTATGAAACTTACTTTTGTTCTGGCATCTTTGCATTTTATCTTGTTCCAATAAATTACTGTTTCCACTATTATACAGGTCTGGTGGATCACTATTTGGAGTAAAGCAATATACCAGCCAGGACACAGAAGAGGGAGTGGGATCCCTACAAACATCCCATAAAGCCCAGTTATTGAGCCTAGTGTCACTGGCTCTAATCTTGTGAGAGTACATCCATATGTTTATACAGTGTACCTTTTAATATTGACAGTATTGCACTAGGATTTGTTCTCTGTGTTCTTTTTGCAGACCATCTCATCATTTAGAATATATTTTGTACATGACCAGATACACTCCACCTATTGTATGTAAAGACTGCTAAGGGCCAGAGACGTGACACCCAGACTGCCAGACAAGGTCATCCCAGAAGTGCCCAAGAGGGGAATTAAACCTGGGTGCTATATGGTTCTAAGCCTGTGTTCCTGCCTGTGTTCTTGGCTTGGCCTGAAACCTATCCTTGCCATGTCTCCAGCACTGGGGTCTGGACTTAACCTGTGACTGTTCCTGTCAATCATGGTCCAGCTGTAAAGTATCACTGATTAGCCATGTATAAGGCACTGCCTATCCCTGAGGGCAGTGTCAATTCATTGACTCTGATTCTGCTGTTTGGTTCCTGTTTCTGAGTATCCAGCTTGTTTGTTCTCCAGTTTGTTCCTGGCTCCTGACCTCGGCTCTTCTTATCGATTTCTCTGACCTATGGCTTCCCCTGACTACGGCTTTACAAGGCTACTCTTCTGCTTGTCCTTGCCTGTACTGCGACTTAGAGTATATCCCTGCACAGCCCCCGTGCACAGACTCACAGGCCAGGTGAATTCTTGCTTTACCACCTTGGTCTGTGTCTATTTGCAAGGGTGAGCATATATCTCTGCCTACCGGTCTCCCAACTAAGGTAAGCCGCTACACAAGGACCTCATGGTGACTTGGCCCCTCACTAAAAAAAATGGTGGTAGGGAGGAATCCATGAAATTGATGTTACCACTCAACTAACATACTTACTTAGAGATCAACTGAGAGATCAACACCCAGAAATATCTCTCATCCCCGGACCTCTCTCCTACCGTCCGGCAACGTGTCACTGCTTGCCTTTCTTCCATCTCTGACTGGATGTCCTCCCACTTTCTGAAACTAAATCTCTCTAAAACTGAGCTCCTTGTCTTTCCTCTTCCTAATATTGATCCTCCTCTTTCACTCACCCTTCAAGTTAGTGGTATCCACTTCGGTCCATCCTTGCCGGTGCGCTGTCTTGGTGTCTTACTTGATTCTGGCCTCACATCCAGCATGTTACCAAGTCCTGTTGATTCCATCTTAAAAACATAGCCAGCATCCGTGCCTTTCTTATGCAAGATGCTACTAAGGAGCTTGTCTATGCTCTAGTAATTTCCCGCATGAATTATTGTAACCCTCTCCGAATTGGTCTTCCGAAAAACTGTATTGCCCAGCTACAGTCTGTAATGAATGCTGCCGCCAGACTGATTTTCCTCTCTAGTCAGTCCTCTCACACCTCACCCCTCTGTCAGTCCTTACATTGGCTTCCTGTATCCTATAGGAGTCAATTCAAAGTGCTAACCCATACCAATAAAGCAATAACCAATTCTAGCCCCTCATATCTCTTCACAGATCCATAGGTAGGCCCCTTCTCGGTCTCTCCGCTCTGCCCGTGACCTTCTCCTGTCCACCGCTAGCACGCGTACGACCAACTCACGCTTGCAGGACTTCTCGCGGGTGGCTCCTTTCCTATGAAATAGCCTGTCTACCCCCATCAGACTCTCCCCTAGTCTTTAATCATTTAAGAAGTGCCTTAAAACCCATCTCTTTAGGAAAGCTTATGACCTCCCAGAGTAACCTCTACCTTACATACCTGTCTCTTTCTCCTCCAGCTCTGCTTCATTCCCACCTTATTTGATTGCAATTTCTTGTCCTATTGTGTTTTACAACCCACCTCCTATAGACTGTAAGCTTGTTTATCATTCCTGTAAGTTTTATTGTAATTGTCCTATATATAGTTAAATCCCCCCCCTCTTATAATATTGTAAAGCGCTTCGGAATCTGTTGGCACTATATAAATGGCAATAATAATAGACAGAGGCCCCAGTAGTAGCTTGGCTGATAGGAGTTGGGACTTACCGAAAAGAGCTAGCTTGGACAAACAGATACAGTTCAATTCTCAATTCTCAATTCCCATGTTATTAAATATTCCTTGGTTTAAACATTTGCAATAATCCATGATGGGAAGGATTGTCTTTTCCTTTTCTTCTATTGTTTGAATTGGGAAATAAAGCAAAATTCTTACTTCTAAAGGTTTTTTGAAACATTAAGAAAAATGAGCTATTATGAGCCTATTTAATACATGAATGTATAATGTCATTGCAACTTGTATTAAATAACGAATTATCTCATAATATTACTCATAGTCAGCAAATACAACTAATATTAAAAAAATACTTATTTCAGAAGCACAATACATTTTCTACCAGAGTCCTTAACAATATAAGATTATCAGTGATACATTCTCTGATGCACATCATCTCAGTATTTTACCATTTATGTGGGCCCCAGGCTTGACCCAATCTCCAAACAACACAGGTTTTGTGGACATTGTAGCTGTTACAATTACATCAGCGCCAGTCACTGCTTCTTGTGGTGTTGAGCAGATACGTATTTTACCTCCCGCTGCCTCTGCAAACCTTTCAGCATTCTCTCTTGTGCGGCTCCAAATCCTAATCTTCATTGTGGCAGGAAGGAGAAAGCATCGTAAGGAGAATTAATCATTTTTCCATTATTTGTTTCGTTTGATGGTGGTGCTTTGCCAGGTCATTAAGGTAATTTTGAGACCTGATAATTATTCATAATGTATGCCATGCCTCATATAGTTATGCAAACATGTCCTTCATATCCTTTAATCTATTTAAAAAATAATCATTGTGGAGCGAATTGCAAAGGTCCAGACCACGACTTGCTTTACTCAGACATATACAAATCTACTCGGCCATACTAACCTTTAAAATTTAATGGACATGTCAATGGAAATGTGCTAAATTAACATGTTCTAAAAAATGTTCAGTGTTTTAAAAAATATATTTTATATATATATATATATATATATATATATTGAAAATAACACCATTGCAATTACTTTACCAGATATGATTATTCATTAAAATGTGAATTTTGGGGAAATCGCCAATGAATGACAACTTTCGATGAGCTGGAAAGACACTTGACTTGGAGAATGTTTTCAGTTCGGCTACTTCTACATACAGTTTCAATTCCTTGGTGAATTTTAAGGACAATTCAATGTTTAGTGAATTAAATAAAAAAGGCTTAAAATGTTTATAGTTCCAAGCATTCATCGCACTTTCTGTTTGTGACCTGTGCTCACAAATATATTGATATTCATATGATTTATTTGTATACAAATTAGACGTTAGAAATTATACTTCATCTTAGCAGAAAGACTTTTTCTCTGGCTAACCCAAGGCAGCATAAACCAATTGGTTAGCACCTCCCCAAACACCAATAGGACAAGAGAGGTGGACCAAAACCCGTAAATGGAACCTTCATTTCTGAGGTCCACATAGTTTTTTTGCCATGTCCTGCAGTCTGTACGCACACTTCTTTTGTCTCCAATCTAAAAGAAGGTGTTTTTTTACACTTAAATATATAATGTAATGTTCTTCCCTGATCAGAATTGTTGGAAAGGATCTGGAATATCCAGCAAATTACAGTTCATCAGAGGTCATACTTCATGGTAGGGAGATGACACTTGGAAAAGTCAGTAACGCCAATTCTGATTGGAAAACCTTTCCAGGTAAAATGTCCCAAACTGCAGATTAATGTAATTGTTTGGTATATAGGAGTTCAAAGACAAGGGGCTGAAAGGTTGTGTATCTGTATATCGGCGCTGATCTCGTAACTACTGATTTTGTACTGTTGGATCAACTCGGCTAGATCTTTATCATTCTTTATTTTATATTACCTCTATCTTCTGCAAGAGACTAGTACCCTATTAAACAGAGGGCTGGACCACCCTATTATAGCTACTTTCAGCAAGGGTGAGACTAACTACTGCAGTCTTTTTAGTTTACTCTTGATCACTGTGTGTGTTTTTCTGCACAATTTATTGTTTTATGTATATATATTTTTTTGTGAAATAAAGTTTATTATCCTATATTGATTTCTACGCAGGAGGTAGATATAGCGAAATAGTTTGACTCCCTTGATTTGGAGCTATCTTTTCTATTTTATTTTCATTATTCATTCCCCAGGGTTATGCCCTTAACTATCTCCGTACACCTTAATATACTGCTTGTCTAGATTTATCTAGCCTGGGGTTTCTGTTTTGCATGAAATATAACCTCTTCCTCTGTAAACTCACATGTAACAAATGACTTTGTTTTCATCTGTAAATACTGAACAAAAATATTAATTGAGGCAATCAGCTAGATCTTTATCCTCTTCTACATGCCTTCCTTCTTTTGTTTTTAATCTAACTAATCCTTGTTTTCCTTTTCACATTTATGTATCTAAAAAATGTTTTTCCTCCCTTTTTTACTGGCTGTGCTATTTTCTCTTCTGTGTGTGATTTGGAAGCTCTTATAACTTGCTTAGCCTCTTTCTGCCTAATCTTATAGAGCATTCTGTCTTCCTCACTCTGGGTTTTTTTATAATTACTAAATGCTAACCTTTTGTTTTTTACTATTTTGGCCACATCTGCGGAGTACCACAGTGGTTTCTTGAATTTTTCGCTTTTACTGACAGGTCTAATGCAACTTTCTGTTGCCTTCAGCAGTGCAACTTTTAAATAATCCCATTTCTCTTGGACTACATTTAAATTGCTCCAGTCTGATAATGACTCCTTTACACATATTATAATATTAGAAAAGTCTGTTTTTCTAAAGTCTAAAACTTTTGTTTTTGTGTGGTGTGACTCAGTCACTGTTCTTATATTAAACCACACTGACTTGTGATTGCTGGATCCTAAACTTTCACCTACAGTAACATCTGATACCAAATATCCATTTGTTAACACTAAATTTAGTTGGCTCTTCAACGACTTGCTTTAGAGACAATCCCAGTAGGGAGTTTAGAATATGTGTGCTCCTGGCACAAGCAGCTATTTTGGTTTTCCAGTACATATCAGGAAGATTAAAGTCACCCATGATGATAACTTCCCCCTTCATTGTCATTTTAGCTATTTCCTCAACTAGAAGATTATCTAACTCTTCTATTTGTCATCTTCATCTCCTTCTCCCCAAATACTCCTGGTAATTTGCCAGGTGGTCCCTTACTAAAATAACAAAAACAAAAAAACTTGGAGCCCGATAGACTAAGTTGTTCTGAGAGTCATCAGAAGTGGGTGTGTTAGTTCCCTGATGTCACTTTAATGTTCTGGATCAAGTAGATTTGTTGGAGAGTGAGATGGAAGTGCTACAAAGTTCCTTGATGGTGGATAAATGTATTTATCTGGAAAGAAAATTAGTGGAACTTTGTGTTGGAGCCCCTAAGCAGAAGCAACAGATGTACATTTGCAGACTTGAAGCAGAAGCTTGCATTTCCCCTGAAGGAATCCATCAAGGAGTTGCTTACTTCCAAATGGAACAAACAAGAAAAACAGTTATCTCTCCAATGAAAACTGCATTTCTCATTATCCAAGTGATTAAAATCAGTTTGCTCAGGATCCCATCCTGCAGTTGCATTACCTGCGTAATGTCCAGGTACCTGGACCCTAAGCAGCCACCTATGGTTAACCCTGCTCTGAATTCATGCATAATTTCCTTTTTTTCCCTGTTCACATCAAAGATGATAATTAATAAGTATATACTCATAACGGAGCCAAATGCCATTTATTCATCTCTAATTTCTATGGCAATGTGACATACCTGCCAGACATCCTTCAGCGGTCTTGGGAGCTCTCTCCCGATCTAGCGATTCCAGTGTTGGAAATGATGCGGAATGCTCTGTCTCTCTCCTTTTATTCAAGTCTTGTCTACGTCTTGTGGTACTCTTTGCCCACATAACACTAGTCGCGTTTATTTTAGCATCACACTTGACATGGGCCAATCAAAGGCACAGGGGTCTATATAACACATCTCTCTTCATTGCCCTGTCATGGTTATTGTTAGCCCGAGAGTGCATTCCTTTACCCTTAGTATTGCTGGTAACTGACTTTCTGTTATACTCGTTTTTCCATCTGTCTCCAGTTCTGACCTAGGCCAATATCTGACTATTCTCAGGGCCGGCGCTTCCTATAGGCCAATTAGGCGGCCACCTAGGGTGCTGCTTAAAGGGGGTGTGCCAGTAGTGGATTTACTGCTCATTTGGCCGCCCCCCTACCAAGAGCTGTATTAATTCTTTAGAGCAGCCCCCGGCTATGTTACCGGGCGCTAGGGAGTACTTACATGCCTGCTGACTAGCGCCCGGTAGAACACTGGTCCGGTGGCATTCATAAATGACCTCAGCTCACAATGCCTTGCCCCCTCCCAGACATCCATTGCGGTGGCAACGCAAGATTGCATTATTAGCTTGTTCCCGCCCCTTGCCCTGTAAGTGAGGCGAAATGGGCAGGAGCATAGCAGTGGGGCTAAGACAGGGAGAACGATCCGCCACCAGGAAACTGACCCAAGATTCCTGAAATACAAAAACAGCACTGCTATGTGAAATTAAAGGACCACTATAGTGCCAGGAAAACATACTCGTTTTCCTGGCACTATAGTGCCCTGAGGGTGCCCCCACCCTCAGGGTCCCCCTCCCGCCCGGCTCTGGAAGGGGGAAAGGGGTTTAAACTTACCTTTTCCCAGCGCTGGGCGGGGAGCTCTCCTCCTCCGATCCTCCCCGCCGGCTGAATGCGCACGCGCGGCAAGAGCGGCGCGCGCATTCAGCCAGTCGCATAGGAAAGCATTTACAATGCTTTCCTATGGACGCTGGCATGCTCTCACTGTGATTTTCACAGTGAGAAGCACGCAAGCGCCTCTAGTGGCTGTCAATGAGACAGCCACTAGAGGCTTTGGGGGAAGGCTTAACCCATTCATAATTATAGCAGTTTCTCTGAAACTGCTATAATTATGAAAAAATGAGTTAACCCTAGAAGGACCTGGCACCCATGAGTTAACCCTAGAAGGACCTGGCACCCATTAAGCTGAAGTGGTCTGGGTGCCTAGAGTGGTCCTTTAAGGTAAGAGGGTTAATGTATGTGTTTCATAGAATGTGCGTCTGTCTGGGTCAGTGTGTGTCTGTATGGATCAGTGTGTGTCTGTCTGGGTCAGTGTGTGTCTGTCTGGGTCAGTGTGCGTCTGCCTGGGTCAGTGTGCGTCTGCCTGGGTCAGAGTTTGTGTGTCTGGGTCATTGTGTGTGTGTGGGTCATTGTGTGTGTCTGTCTGGGTCATTGTGTGTGTCTGTCTGGGTCATTGTGTGTGTATGTATGGGTCATTGTGTGTGTATGTATGGGTCAGTGTGTCTGCATGGATCTGTCTGTGTCTGTATGGATCAGTGTGTGTCTGTATGGGTCACAGTGTGTCTGTATGCATCAGTTTGTGTGCTTGTATGTGTGAGTCTGCACGGGTCAGTCTGTGTGTATGTGTGTCAGAATGGGTCAGTGTCTGTGTGCGTCAGTCTGCATGTGTCAGTGTGTATAAATCTGTCTGCATTGGTGTAACGAGAATATACCCCTACACGCAGGATCCAGCTAAACAGAGGCAGATACAGAGGAGAGATACGTCTACCGGACCTTAGAATGGCCGGACTCGACGTATATGAGAGGAGACAGAGCCAGGAACAAACCGAGGTCAAGGGCACAGAGAGACAGCGTAAACTAGGACAAGCCGGGTCTGGTACACGGAAAACAGCAAGCCGGCAAACAGTACAGATAAGGATAAAGCGAAAACGAAGTCAGAATACGAAGCCAAAGTCAATACGAGAGAACACAACTGAACACCACAAGCGCTAAAGGGAACTGGAACAGAAACCACGATAGGGCAACGAGCTAAGGGAAAAAGGTAAGTTAAATAGCTTTTAAACCAAAGTGATTGGCTCCTGTCACTTCCACACCCCCTATAGGTAATTGTACAGGGAGTGTGGTATGACAGGAGCCAATGGGAGCCTTTTGGCAATTAGGTTCCCACTGTCTCTTTAAGAGCGCGCCCGAGACTCGCGGCGCGCTCTTAGTTTCAGGCGGGACACGTGACCGCTCCACGCGGTCACTGCCCGCCTTCCATCTGAAGCAGTCGGATGAGCCGCGCGCGGCTCGTGCAGCCGCAGGACCGCGCGCGGCTTGAAGAGAGGACCGCGACCGGCCCCCGGTTAAGGTAAGTAACGCTACAGTACCCCCCCCTGAGGACACGCCCCCCGGGCGGGTAGGACCAGGCCTGGCAGGAAAACGAGAATGGAAAGAGCGCACAAGACGGGGAGCATGGACAGCATCAGCCGAAATCCAACTGTGCTCCTCAGGCCCATAACCCTTCCAATGTACCAAGTACTGAAGTCGACCCCTAAGGAAACGAGAGTCAAGAACAGCAGACACTTCAAACTCCTCATGACCCTCCACCGAGATAGGAGGGGGAGGAGGAGTATGCCGGGTATAGCGGTTGCGTACGAAAGGTTTCAACAATGAGGTGTGAAAAACATTAGGAATACGTAGATTCTTAGGCAGGCCTAAGGCATAAGAAACAGGATTAACCTTATGTATAATACGATAAGGTCCAATGAAGCGGGGAGCCAATTTCATAGAAGGCACCCGGAGACGAATATTCCGCGTGGAAAGCAAAACCCTGTCCCCCACAACATAGGACGGAGCTGCTCTGCGATGCTTGTCAGCCTGAGCCTTCTGGCGAGTAGCAGAGTCCACCAAAGAACGCTGAACCTGCTCCCAAGTATTACGCAAACCAGCCAAATGCTCATCCAGAACTGGCATGCCCTGTGAGGAGAATGCAGCCGGAAGAACAACGGGATGCTGGCCATAGACAACGTAAAAAGGGGTCTTGCCGGAAGAATCATGAGTGGCGTTATTCCGAGCAAATTCAGCCCAAGGAAGCAGGTCAGACCAATTGTCCTGATGGTGAGACACAAAACAACGGAGGTATTGCTCCAGAGACTGGTTGGCACGTTCAGCAGCCCCATTAGACTGGGGATGATAAGCGGAAGAAAATGAGAGAGAAATACCCATTTCTGAACAAAAGGCCCTCCAGAACCTGGAAATAAATTGGCTACCCCTATCGGATACAATAGATACGGGAATCCCATGTAATCGAAATACTTCTCTAGCGAAGATATGAGCCAGTTCCTTGGATGTGGGCAACTTGTGAAGAGACACGAAGTGAGCCATTTTGGAGAACCGATCCACTATCATCAGGATTACTGTGTTACCATTTGAAGGGGGTAATTCAACAATAAAATCCATGGACAGGTTAGACCAAGGTCTCTCGGGAACGGGTAACGGATGCAACAGCCCACAAGGAACTCTACGGGAGGATTTCATACAGGCACAAGTAGTACAAGCACTTATATAGTCAGTGACATCCTTTCGTAAGGAATCCCACCAAAAATACCGAGAAACAGCTGACACCGTTTTGGAAATACCAGGATGTCCAGCAGTCTTAGTATCATGATATAATGACATAATATCCCGTCTCTCAGGAACATCAACGAACAGTTTATCATTAGGCCTCTCGCTAGGTGCCATGCTTTGTTTCGCTTGTATGGCCTGCAAGAGGGACGAGGAAATAGACAAAATAGTAGTAGCTATTATCCTGTCTGGGGGAATGACAGGAGTAACATCAATCTCCTGTTTGTCAGTAGTTTCGAACTGTCTGGACAGAGCGTCTGCTTTAGTGTTGCGATCACCTGGCCTATAGGTGATAATAAAATTGAAACGGGACAAAAATAGTGACCACCTAGCCTGCCTGGAAGACAATCTTTTGGCTTCGCTAAGGTAGGATAGGTTCTTGTGATCCGTAAAAATGAGGATAGGATCCTTAGTTCCTTCTAACAAATGTCTCCACTCTTTAAGTGCTAAAATAATAGCAAGGAGTTCGCGATTACCCACATCATAATTTTTCTCTGCTTTGGACATTTGTTTAGAAAAGAAGCCGCATGGATGCAATGGCTTTTCAGGCGACTCTCTTTGGGATAAGACAGCACCTACCCCAATATCCGAAGCATCAACTTCAAGAATATAGGGCAGTGAGGGGACAGGATGCTGTAAAATAGGTGCAGAGGCGAACGTAGTTTTAAGAAATTCAAAAGCCTGAAGTGCCTCGGTAGACCAAACACGAGTATTGCCATCCTTTTTAGTCATACGGGTAATAGGTGCTACAATGGACGAGAAACCTTTGATAAAACGTCTATAATAATTGGAGAACCCAAGAAAACGCTGAATAGCTTTCAGACCTTGCGGTAGAGGCCATTCTATTACAGCAGCAAGCTTCTGGGGATCCATACGAAAACCTTTAGCGGAAATCAAATACCCCAAGAACTGGACTTCGGTTTGGTCAAACAAACATTTTTCTAGCTTGCAATAAAGACCATTAGCAAGAAGGGTCTTCAAAACTGTCGTAACATGTCTGTGATGAGTGTGTATATCTGTAGAATATATTAAAATGTCGTCCAAGTATACGATAACAAATGTGTGAATAAAATCTCTTAAGACATCATTAATAAATTCTTGGAATACTGCTGGGGCATTGCAAAGCCCAAATGGCATAACAGTATATTCGTAATGACCGGATCTAGTGTTGAATGCAGTCTTCCATTCGTGATTTTCCTTTATACGTATCAAATTGTATGCACTCCTAAGGTCTAATTTAGTGAACACAGTGGCATGTTTCAGCCTGTCAAATAATTCTGTAATTAAAGGTATAGGGTATGCATTTTTGATAGTGATTTTGTTTAGACCTCTATAATCTATACACGGTCTTAAATCACCTTCTTTCTTCGATACAAAGAAGAACCCTGCTCCAGCTGGAGAAGAGGATCTCCTAATAAACCCCTTTTCTAATGACTCCTTAATATACTCCTCCATGACACGGTTTTCTTGAACCGATAAGGGGTACACCCTGCCCTTTGGAGGTATAGTGCCAGGCAACAAGTCAATAGCGCAATCATAGGGTCTGTGAGGCGGTAATTTCTCAGCCTCCCTTTTATCAAAAACAGTCTTAAGAGATAAATACTGAGGGGGTATAACCGTAGACAAAGGAGGACTGGTAGGTACCTCAATAGAATTCAAAGGTGTGACTTCCAACGTACAAGACTTGTGGCAGGCCTCACTCCATGATTTTATTTGCCCTGTCTCCCAGTCAAAAATGGGATTGTGAGCACGTAACCATGGATACCCTAATACTAACTGGGAAGAGGGAGAGGTGATGACCTGGAATCGAATGGTTTCATAGTGTAAAACCCCTGTGTACATGTGTAATGGTACAGTCTCATGAGTGACAACTGGAGAACTTAATGGTCTACCATCTATGGCCTCAACGGCCAAGGGTATCTCCTTCTCTCTGATGGGAATGTTGTTTCTCTTTATAAAGCCAGAGTCTATAAAATTTTCAGCTGCCCCAGAGTCAACCAGAGCATATATGTTGTCAACTATACAAATCTCTCCCATATATAAAGAAACCGGGAGAAGCAAGCGGTTAGGAGGCAATTTAGGAGACTTAGATATCACACCCAAGGCCAGTCCCCTATAAGGTCTTAGGTGCGAGAGTTTTCCGGGAGTAAAGGACATTCCTTTACCATATGGTCTCTCCTACCACAGTATAGGCAGAGTCCCTCCCTTCTCCTATGTAATTTCTCAGTATCAGAGAGTTTGGCAACCCCTAATTGCATAGGTTCCTCCTCAGACACTTTAACACTCTCTGGTATATTAACTCTGGGGTTAATGGGTGTAACAAAACGTCTATTCCTGTTCTTGGTATAGAGCCTGTCACGAATTCTATTATCTATATCAATGAGGTAATCGATAAGGTCCTCTAAGGCAATAGGAAGCTCCTTAGCTGCTACCTCATCCAATATCGTATCTGACAAACCTTCCATAAAGGCAGTAGTTAACCCATTGTTGGTCCAATCTACCTGCGAAGCAAGAGTGCGAAACTGAATAGCATAATCAGCCACAGACCTAGAACCCTGTTTAATTCTCATTAATGCTCTCGCGGCATTCTTTGACCTTTTCATTGTGTCAAAAGTTCTACGAAAAGCCGTAAGAAAACTGTTGAAATCATGCACCATAGGTCCATTAGCTTCCCAAATAGGATTTGCCCACTCAAGTGCCTTATCGGTGAGTTGGTGCATAAAGAACCCAACCTTAGACCTCTCTGTGGGAAATGAACGTGGATACATTTCGAAGTGGAATTCAATTTGATTAATAAACCCTCTGCAAGTCTTAGAGTCCCCTCCATACCTAGGAGGAGGTGTTAAATGGGCCGAAGTATTAGGCAAAGTAGATACTTCAGGGAGAAGGGGCGTAGGAGGGTTAGGTGTGGTTGCTGGAACGGTTCTAGCTAGGAGCGTCTGGAGAGCCTGAGCTATCTGATCCATCCGGTGATCCTGCTCTACAAATCTTGCCTCATGGGACGCCATCTGTTGAGCTAAATCTGCGGGGTCCATGGCCCTATCGTAATGTAACGAGAATATACCCCTACACGCAGGATCCAGCTAAACAGAGGCAGATACAGAGGAGAGATACGTCTACCGGACCTTAGAATGGCCGGACTCGACGTATATGAGAGGAGACAGAGCCAGGAACAAACCGAGGTCAAGGGCACAGAGAGACAGCGTAAACTAGGACAAGCCGGGGTCTGGTACACGGAAAACAGCAAGCCGGCAAACAGTACAGATAAGGATAAAGCGAAAACGAAGTCAGAATACGAAGCCAAAGTCAATACGAGAGAACACAACTGAACACCACAAGCGCTAAAGGGAACTGGAACAGAAACCACGATAGGGCAACGAGCTAAGGGAAAAAGGTAAGTTAAATAGCTTTTAAACCAAAGTGATTGGCTCCTGTCACTTCCACACCCCCTATAGGTAATTGTACAGGGAGTGTGGTATGACAGGAGCCAATGGGAGCCTTTTGGCAATTAGGCTCCCACTGTCTCTTTAAGAGCGCGCCCGAGACTCGCGGCGCGCTCTTAGTTTCAGGCGGGACACGTGACCGCTCCACGCGGTCACTGCCCGCCTTCCATCTGAAGCAGTCGGATGAGCCGCGCGCGGCTCGTGCAGCCGCAGGACCGCGCGCGGCTTGAAGAGAGGACCGCGACCGGCCCCCGGTTAAGGTAAGTAACGCTACAATTGGTCAGTGCGTGCATCACTCTGCATGGGTGTGTGTGAGTCAGTCTGCTTGGGTCAGCTTGTGTCAGTCTGCATTAGTTGATGGAGTGAATGGGACGGCAAATTTTTTTTTTTTTAGGGCGGGCAAAAATCCTTGCACCAGCCCTGACTATTCTATACCCTTTACCTCCTCTATACATTAAGTCTAACCACACTTAGGTCCATTAATACGTCTGTTCTGTTTAGAGGGTTCTATTTGCCTAATTGTTTGTGAGTTAGGGCATCTGTCCTTGACACAATGTGCTTGAAATCTGGTATTCCTTAAAGGACCACTATAGTGCCAGGAAAACATACTCGTTTTCCTGGCACTATAGTGCCCTAAGGGTGCCCCCACCCTCAGGGTCCCCCTCCCGCCCAGCTCTGGAAGGGGGAAAGTGGTAAAAACTTACCTTTTTCAAGCGCTGGGCGGGGAGCTCTCTGCCTCCGATCCTCCTCCTCTCCTCCCCGTCGGCTGAATGCGCACGCGCGGCAAGAGCTGCGCGCGCATTCAGCCGGTCGCATAGGAAAGCATTATCAATGCTTTCTTATGGACGCTTGCGTGCTCTCACTGTGATTTTCACAGTGAGAATCACGCAAGCGCCTCTAGCGGCTGTCAATGAGACAGCCACTAGAGGATTTGGGGGAAGGCTTAACCCATTCATAAACATAGCAGTTTCTTTGAAACTGCTATGTTTATAAAAGAATGGGTTAACCCTAGCTGGACCTGACACCCAGACCACTTCATTAAGCTGAGGTGGTCTGGGTGCCTAGAGTGGTCCTTTAATCAAAAGTAAATGGATCTCATATAATACAAACCACACTGAATGTAAAAAAAGAAACAGCAACATTTGAGCTTACATCATAATCAGTATGATAAAAATATCAATGGAGGTGTAGTGAAACAGTTAACAGGTTCTTTAGAAACGTAGAGCTTAACACGGACAAAGCAAAGGGCAACTTTCCAAACCATTTAGACCCCACTAACATTTCATTTACCTCTGTGAATGAGAACTGTTGTGTAAAAGCTTGGTAATGGCTCAGTGCTTGAGCGCCTGATCCCAGAATACACAAAACTTCAGCATGCGGAGACTTGAGCAGCTGGAACGAAAATGGATTGTTTTATGAAAACCTAAATACTGATTGCTCGTGTTTTTGTTTTTTGACTGGAGCTTCTAGAAATGCCCTAATGATGTCTTTAGTCATTGATATTCGGAACACAGCACTGAAAAGTCTAAGTAGAACAATTAGAGGTAAATGGAGTATGAAATCATTATTCTTTAAAGTTGTAAATGACTAAAATTGTTAGCCGACACAATTAACACTGCGTTTACATAAGCTAAATCATAAACATATATATTATTGGAGTTTGAAAAAGTTATGGTCACTTCTGTGCCGTGATGTCATACACTAACTCCTCCACTCTAAAAAAGACAATGATCGAAAAGGGAGGGACAGGGGAATTTTTGCCCAAAATAGGTCTAATAAATAAGGACTCTGGATATATATGTCTCAAATAATTAAAAGTGACCCCCCCTTCCCTAAAACCACCTAAACCCATCACTAAAGGAATTGTTAGCTGATAATATAAGGACAGGAAAATGACTAAAAATTAAAAAATAGATCATAAAATTGAATGGTGTGGGAGAAAATAAAAATTTACAATAATGAGCATTCTCTTGAAATATCTCTATTTGTGCCTTAGTGATCACAAAGCAAAATAATATGTGGTCAGTCTATCACCGGCTACAATAATTCCAATATGTGGATGAATTTATTAACAACTTGCTAAATAGCATTTCTAAAACCTCATGAATAAACATTGTTAGAGGATGCTTAAAAAAATTTCAGCACCTCATTTTTAATTACAACACAGCACATATGTAATTTTTATAATCTGTGTTAAAATGTTGGGATGTAAAACAAGGATATTTTCTCTAAACATATCCTCAGTAATGAATGAATTGTGCCATAAATAAATAAAGTAGGATTAGAGCTGTGTATTAAAAAAAAAAAAAAAAAAAGGTCTTCTCACCTTTGTTGCGATTGTGGAAACTGCAGCCGTTCTCTTATCTGTGATTACTTTTCCATCAATGACCTAAATCCCCAAATAATGACACACAGTGCTTAATACAACTTGCAATCAAACAACTTAATATGTCATGTTTAATACTGTCCTAAAATTAATCTGTCCTAAAAGTTACAATTCAAATCCATTTTTTAGGCATGATAGTTAAAGAGACAAGCCAGCCTGGAAGTGAACACTTTTTTAAAGTTTATTTTTATGCACTGTATGAATTTCATCTAAATTTGGACTGAACAGATTGTTCTAGAGTTGGTGGGGAATGCATGCTTTAGTTATATCGGCGAAGATTGGAGGTGGGAAGGGAGCCAGGCGACTCCTGGCACTATAATTACTACAGCGCAACATGAAATGCTGCCTATATCTCTCTTGTCAGCACAAATATTGATCTGGCGATGGACATAATCAGCCTCTCCACTTACAGGCAGAGCTGTTAGTGCATCTGCAATGAAAGTGTAGAACGGTGCGCAGCAGACCCGAGGTAAGAAGTCAAACCATTAAAAAACTGTTTGAATTTTTACAAAGAGGGGTAAGTGGTGAAATGGAACTCCTGGCTGGCACCAGAACCACTACAGCAATCCATAGTGGGTATGGTGCTTGAATTGTACTTTAATTGAGAAAATGTAAAATAAGGTGAGAGAAAATCTTATTAATTAAGACTATTCTCAACTAGGGACTTTCCCATTAGATATTTACCACAATGTGAAAATGCATGATCATCCAGTGCATTGTAGTGGTTATGGTACTTGGAGTGTTCTTTTAAGATGAAGGTGGGTTTGCATAGGCATTGACCATAGTGGCCGCACATTGATGAGAGGACATGCCATGTTACAGACACATAACAAACCAGGTTATAAATTTAGTGTTTTCAAGAGCTGGGTTGCAGGAGGAGTGAATAGGACTTGCAGACACATTTCCCAAATAATAATTTTTACTTACTATGCTGTGATTTAAAAAAAAAAAAAAGATTTACAGAAAACAAATTTTTTTTATATAATTTGGTTCCACATTTAATATTGGGTCTAGGCCAATTTATTTGATATCATAAAAACCCCTATTGGTTTCCTGAATGAATTTCCCCTTTTTTTTTTTATTTCTCTAGGAAAATAATGGCTGGCAGACCTTGGGCTAGCAGAGCATCATGGGGGGAAAAAAAATCCACAAATGTTGTCTGTGACAAGATCAACCATTACCTCCTTTTGGGAAGTAATTTATCTTTTTCACAAGATAAGAATGTGACAGTTAACATATTTCGCATTCTCTTTTTATTTTTTTCTCAAAGTCCGTTATACACACAATTTATGATTGTAGGAAGAGCAAAAATAAAATTATTCAACATTGTGGAGAATGAGCATGGAAGTATGGCTTTGTTTTTTAACTGTTGGCCTAGCCAGTTGACAGATTGCTTACATTTATTTCTATATTTTTTACTCTCAAAAGACAGCACATGGTTAATAAATATGATATTATCTATAAAGTGACTTAGCTAATGCGTCAGTGCATCCTTTGCAAATCCAGTATGATACTGAAACATCGATCATGCTAGTACTGCTATAAATAACTACCGTAGATTATGAATAATACATTTCAAACCTAACTTCCCATACAAACTCCTGCTGGGATTCTGTGAATTTACCCTGGTAAAATGGGATGGGTAACACCTTGGGGTTAATTACTAAAGTGTGACTGTCAGGAATGCAAAGTGAATTTAAAGTATATTTAAAATTTTAGGTCAAAATAGCAAGATTTTTTTTTTTTTGCAATTTAGCTATTTTGGCTTTAAAATTTAAAATTCACTTTGAATTCTGACAAAACGTTAGCGAAAAAACCCTTTTAGAAACAGAAATCAATCGTTACATGAAAATCATGAAAATCAGCAGACTAGGGTACTCAAGTCCCCATCACGCTCAGTCATCCAGTCAAATTCATAGCAAAAGCCAAGAAGGGGTTTACCTGGGTAGCTGGGAAGAGCTGGTAGTTTTGTAGCCACATGTAACAAAAGCACAGCTTAGTGGGAAGGGGCCTTGACAGGGCTAGGAGGCGGGCCCTCCCTCCCTTGGGTAAGTTGTTGTTCGGTTATCCCGTTATGTCACAGCGGCGGGATAGTGAGCTGAAGGTTAGGAAAATAGGCCCTTTTTTATGCTGGTTTTGGAAACGGTTAATATGGTTCCTGGTAGGTTTCGAGCTTGTCGGTGGCTCAGAACCTGGTGGGTGTAGTGGTAACCATTTAAAAATGTATTAATAAAAGCTGTGCAAATTTTAACCCATAGACCTTAATGTCCTTGTCTTATTGGGTTAGGTATGTGGGGGGTTTTATTCCGCCCGCCCATATGGCGACTATGCATCTGTCATGTAATTTGGAAACAAAATGGGCACGAAATAGCAAATTCTGGCATTAGGATGACTTCAACAACTCAAAATCAAACATTTGACAAATGTTGCTACCACTAACCCTCTTTTTCTTATAGGATGTTCATTCAGATGTCTCTGAACTTAACTATTTAACTCTGGCACAATATTTACAATTGTCCCCAGATATCTGGCCATCAGCTTCAAACCCTCCTCCTCCCCCCCCCGCCATCTCATGTTTTAACTCCCCATTATTACCTTTAGATCGTAAGCTCACGAGTTATCTTGCTAAGAACTGTACTTGCTAGATTCTAAGCTCAAATGCTGGGTTTTCTGCTCCTCTTTGTTTCGGTACATGGTCATTATTTGTCTTATTCCCATGATCGTACTGCGCTACAAAATATGTTGGCGCTATATAAATACCAAATAATAATAATAATAAAAGCGTTGTCATTCTCAGCTAACTTTAGCACTTAAGGTTGATTTTCAATGCAGTTGTCTCAAATTTCAGGATATAATCAGATCTAATACTTCCCTCGACAGTATACGAGCACAGCTTGAAGACACACTCCCCCGCTTGCAGAACTTAATAACCAATTAGAATTGGAATAGTAAACGTTAGCTACTGGTGAGCTCAGTAATCTATTGCTATGCTGATTCTTCGAGCGATGAACACCTTTACTGGGACCTTGGTAATTCCACGCAAGGTTCCGGCATTTCTGGAGCTTTTACTGGCCTGTCATGGAGAAATGAACTTAAAGTTGATCATAGAATTTCAGCCGCCCTGGTTGACACTACCATTTAAATCAAATCGACTGTTGGTAAACGTTCCTGTACAGTTAGAACAGATGAAATTCCAATAAAATTTTAAATAGAAGACAGAATCGGAACAGCACGTTAACAGAACAGGAACATTGACTGTGTATTATAAGCCAGTGAGAGAACGCAGCATGCTGCTCTGACTTTGATGTTACTGGGAAAAGCTGCGGTACAAACGCGTAGAGAACGAAGATCTCCCTCTGGGCTTTCTACTGATGAATAATCAGCTTCCTTGATTTAAAACATGTTTAATATAAATCAGATATTCTCATCTGCAGGCTATTATGACAGTGCACCTCCAGTGGCTTGCAAACTACAACTCCCACGAACACTTGCAAGTGTATTGCAAAGGTTAATGGGAGTTGTTGTTGAGCAGCAGAGGAAGGTCCACGATTTGAACACCTCCTCGTACTCAAATGCCCTGCATGCAGAAATCTGATTAAATCCATGTGATTTTAGACACATTTACATTGTGCCATCAATAGCTAAGCATTTACTTAAAGGACCACTCTAGGCACCCAGACCACTTCAGCTTAATGAAGTGGTCTGGGTGCCAGGTCCAGCTAGGGTTAACCCATTCTTTCATAAACATAGCAGTTTCAGAGAAACTGCTATGCTTATGAATGGGTTAAGCCTTCCCCTATTTCCTCTAGTGGCTGTCTCATTGACAGCCACCAGAGGCGCTTGCGTGCTTCTCACTGTGATTTTCACAGTGAGAGCACGCCAGCGTCCATAGGAAAGCATTATGAATGCTTTCCTATGTGACCGGCAGAATGCGCGCGCAGCTCTTGCCGCTCGTGCGCATTCAGCCGACGGGGAGGAGAAGAGGAGGATCGGAGGAGGAGAGCTCCCCGCCCAGCGCTGGAAAAAGGTAAGTTTTAACCCCTTTCCCCCTTCCAGGGGGTCTTTGTAAGAAAAGATAATCTCACAAATAATTAGCTTTTACATTTTGCCTAAAGCTCCGTGTGAGTGAGTGACTTACTGTCAAATGGCTATTTTTGGTGTTTTAAAGTATTCATCTGAACAAACATTACTGATGTTAATTGTTTGAAAAAATAGCAAGTAAATGTGTCTATAATATAATTGCACTCAGCCAAGTAAAATGGGCAATTGGCTCAGAAAGGTCCATTCTCCTTATGCAAATTTGCTGGTTTTCCCATGATTCCTCTGTGACAGTCCTATTCATGCAAATTATATCAACTCAAGCCAGTCCATATTAAATTTAAATGGGATTCACCAGGAGTTAATTCAGTAAGTGTGTCTGTCAGAAAGGATAGAAAGCTTTGAAAAGTTTATTTACATGAAAAAAAAGCCATAGCAGGACTTTTAATAGTAATATCCATTTTTATTTACTGGATTCAAAAAATACTTTCCGCATATAAGGTTAAATCTGCTTAAAGAGAAAACACCTCCAGTACTCTGATTCCGGCGTGACAATACTAAATTGGGAGCCAAGTTCCGCTTTTACCTTAGGGGATCTGCTTTTGCAAGATACTGAAAAAATATAGTGAATAATCATTTTTGGCTTTTCTGCACATGAGTATCAGGATTAACTAACACACTGTATAGGAACAGTATAACAACCATTCTGAACATTGAATGCAATGTGTTGTCAGAACTAGACTGCAATTACCACTGAAAGGGTTACTCCAAGCACCATAACCACTTCACTAATTTGAATTGGTCCTTGTGTTTAGAGTCTGTATTTGTAGAATTTCATTATTAAAAAAAAAACAGAGCAGATACAAATTTAACCATTTGCTGCTGGAGATGTACCACCATCTCTGGCTTCATCAAATCAGGCTTCTGACGCCAGTAAGAAGAGCACGCTGGTGTCAGAGAGCCAATAGCGGCATGGCCTCCAATCCATGTAGCCCATGTCCTCCCCTCAGCCATTCTCTTTAACATCCGTCCCGTCGCGTTGAGTGACATCAGCTAAGGAAGATCAGCCTGCAGAGGAACAAGGCTTCATTGCTGGAACGGAGGTAAGTTTTAACCATATTCAATGTTATTATGTACTTTTTGGGGGTTTGATCAGTATAGGAAGGGTTACGCTCACCAAAACCCGTGTTTTCTAAAAACGCAGGATTTTTTTGTTTGGAGTAACCCTTCATCCCTAGCCGTCTAAACCTATTGTAGGGGTACCTCGGGTTATTATCACACTGGGTACATCAGCATACCTAGCATCATAATAATCTCCATTTTCATAAACTGTGATACAATGACAATGCAGTGACATCATAGCATTGCTATAATGACAGGGGATTTTTAAGACCTACATTTTAAAGTCAACATTTGTTTAAATGAATCTGTAAACCAACTCCTGGAAGGATCTGATTATCAATGTTGATAATTGTTGCATTTTCTGTCTGTCAGTGATGGCTTAGTAAACTCTAGTTTGTACTGAGCAAATGCATATTGCAAAGTCGAGGCATAAATAGCCAAAATGTGACTATCGTTAAACTGGAGAATTTTTCCAAACCAGCTGTTTCTGCCCAAATTTGCCAATTCAGTTTTGAATGCACCCCAAAATTAGACGCTTAGTGACTCAATAATATCAATAACATGGCTGTGAATGTTGAAGTATAATGAATAAGCAATACTAACGGTATTCACTAAAGTGAGAATGCAAAGTGGATTTTAATAAAATTAAGGTTAGGGTAAATTAATTTTTCCAATTTGACTATTTTTGACCTTAAATGTTAAATTCTCTTTGAATTCTCACTTTGCTGAAGAACCCTGTAAAGGTTATCTTGGAGAAAGGTTAGAGCTCCCCCTGCAGGAAATCTTTGTATTGACACCTAGTCTCCGTGTAATGTTTTTGAATAACCTTTCAAATGATTTAATATTTTTACCAAACCAACAATTATCAAGATAGAATCTTAACAATAAATGGGTGGAGCGCTTGATAGTATTTACATGCAATAATTGCTTACCCCTTATTGAATTAAGTGTGGAGATTCTGGTGTACTTGAATACATAAAAAAAGGGGATAAAAACACAGAAAAAAATGCTAGTGCAGATGGTACTCATACAAATAAAGTGCAAAATAAAGAAAACTCACAATTTCCAGAGCCTGAGAATTAAGGCTCTATACAAGCGTGGTGGTGCTCATATAGGTGGCACCCCACCTTCTTCTCAAGAAAAAAAATATATGATATGATAAAAAAAAAAAGTTAAAATATTACAAAATATTAAAATATTTTTTAAAAATATTAAAATAGTTGAAAATTAAAATAAGATTCTAAGTCCCTAGCAAAGTGAGTCAGATTATACTTTACATGTAAGGCAGCACAATTTTATGCATACATTAAAGGAAAATGAGTCATATTCTTTAATAAAAAAAAATAATAATAATAAAAATATCAAACTGCTAGAGCAAGTTATATTTTTTGCATTTAACTTTGGACCACTTTGGCTGCATGGCGGTACAATTTACATATGTCATTCTCTATTTTAAAAGACTTTTCTCCCCCCCGCTTACAACGAACATCAGTTCGTAACAATATTATTATGTCATTTGTCTATCGTCCGGCCAAGTGCATAGTTTCCTAAAAAGGTCTGTCAAACTATAAGACAGCAGTCAAACGATGCAATAATACCATTTCACCCCACATCCTCGAATTCCAGATGTACAGGATTATTTACTAAATAATTCAAAGTGAACTTCAGATTTAAGGCCAGAGCAGCCAAACTAAAAGCAAAGCTGACAATGAATATTTCTTGTTCGGCTATTTGACCTTAAATCTGAAATTCATTTTATTGAAAGCCCTCATAGTGCTAGCAGCACAGCAGCATGTTCTGTATTTTGATGTCAACGTTTTGACTCGGTAGTATCCTTCAGAAGAGTGATAAAAGACAGCATCTGCAAAAACATGAGATATACTTACTGCCTTCAGAATTCCATTGGTTGGGTCAAATAAAAGAACAGTTGCTTGATGGGAAGGAAGTTCACTGGAGGTTTTATTTTCATAGAAAGTCACCACTTTAGTGGTTAAAGCATCATCTGCTGCGCTATAAGCAGGCATCACACCTAAAAACCTAAAACACACAAAAAAAGTTTATCTCAAAAAGTATGTATATGTCCATCGCATAGACAAGATCATTTTGCTGTGAATTTTTTTCTCAAACTAACAATTAAGTAATGAGACAGCACTAATCAACAGGCCAAGGTTCATCACAATTAACAAAAGTGCATAATAAAAATTAATAGCGTTACTGCCAAATTTGCACAACTAGCTCATTGTTCCTGTGGAACTCGCTTCCCTCCTCCGTTAAATGCTCACCCAGCCTCCACTCCTTCAAAAAATTGTTAAAAACCCACTTCTTCATAAAAGCGTATCAATTAAACTGTTAATAGCTCCCGACTGATTCCTCTCCTGCAACTGTCATTAGTCTAATACTATTCTTACCTTTTGTGTCACTTTACCCCACTCCCTCTAGGATGTAAGCTCATTGAGCAGGGCCCCCAACCCCTGTGTTCCTGTGTGTCCAACTTGTCTGTGTCCAACTTGTCTGGTTACAACTACATGTTTGTTCTTCCACCCATTGTAAAGCGCTGCGGAATTTGACGGCGCTCTATAAATAATAACATAATAATAATTGTCTGAGAGCAAACAGTTTACCTATACCAACCATAACTACTACAGTATGCAGTAGTGGATATGATGCTTGGAGTGTTCCTTAAAAGGACACTATAGTCACCTGAACAACTTTAGCTTAATGAAGCAGTTTTGGTGTATAAAACATGCCCCTGCAGCCTCACTGCTCAATCCTCTGCCATTTAGGAGTTAAATCCCTTTGTTTATGAACCCTAGTCACACCTCCCTGCATGTGACTTGCACAGCCTTCCATAAACACTTCCTGTAAAGAGAGCCCTGTTTAGGCTTTCTTTATTGCAAGTTCTGTTTAATTAAGATTTTTTTTATCCCCTGCTATGTTAATAGCTTGCTAGACCCTGCAAGAGCCTCCTGTATGTGATTAAAGTTCAATTTAGAGATTGAGATACAATTATTTAAGGTAAATTACATCTGTTTGAAAGTGAAACCAGTTTTTTTTTCATGCAGGCTCTGTCAATCATAGCCAGGGGAGGTGTGGCTAGGGCTGCATAAACAGAAACAAAGTGATTTAACTCCTAAATGACAGTGAATTGAGCAGTGAAATTGCAGGGGAATGATCTCTACACTAAAACTGCTTTATTTAGCTAAAGTAATTTAGGTGACTATAGTGTTCCTTTAAATATCTTTGCAAATGTCATGAATTAAATTCCAAACAAAATAGTACAGGCATATTCCATCTAGTATATTGCTAGCCAGCTACGGTTAGCCAGTGGTCAGAGTGCCTATAGCGTCTCTTTCAGTATATACGTTGTGTGTAGATGCATGTATCCAGTGTGTCAGTATTTTAAAGTTTCAAATACTTACAATGTATTTTGTAGCTAGCACAAAAGCCAGAAAAGTGTATACAGGCTATATATATTCCTGAATGCATATTACTACAAAAAACACATCTAGAAAAATGTATGAGTTTTACCCACGAAATCCTTGTCTGACAGACTGCTGAATGTCTGGGGCGAGCCCTTTTTTGACAGAAGGATTGGTGTATCGAGGATTTTGGGGTGTTTTCCCCATTCTGTCCAAATATCACCCTCTCCCTTCAACGTGTGAAAGATGAGGGCTACAACTATGATAAAATATTAAAATATTACCTAATATCTTATTTGTATATACAATGTAGTTTATATAAAATAGAAGCAGTGATGGCTGGTCCATAGGGACAAGTGGAGTGTCCGTCCCCGACCCCCCCAAAAAAAACATTCCCCCCAGTTTATCTTGCAAAAAAATCTATTGACATTAGAATGACTACCGATAAGTGTGCTAGTGTAATACATAATTAGAATCTCTTGCTCACAATCACAACTTCTACTGGCCGTTCCTTATGCATCCAGGCATAGAATAAATAGAGGGCAGAATTTAAGACACTATTTCCTATACATAATGTAGGAAAACATGTTTCATTCTGGTTCTTATTCCCAGAGATCTGGATCCGTGGACTCCACTGGTTGCTTGTATCTCAATGTACAAAGCAGAAGCTGTAGCTAACCTGGCCAGCAGACCGGAATAATGTCATTTGCATTTGCCCAAACAAGTGTAAAATAAGTGTCTGAATGCTAGCCAAACATTAAACATTTGTCAAACTAATGTGATCAACCTTTGTGTACTTAGAAAACACTTGCCTATCCTTAGCGACAGTAGAAAGATTTACAGGGACACTATTGTAGACACAGTGAGATTTATCAGTGTCTCAGAATAATCAGAGTCTTTTTTGTGACTTCTTCTGTCTGGTGTAAATGATCAATTTAGGTATTCTTTACTTATAACTTCACTGGCTTTTTTTTTTTTTTTTTCATTATTTTGTTTTCCCATTTATTAATATTTCTGCCACTGTTTTGTACTACAAAAGTATCCTATTGTCTTATTTTCTCTTTTAAAACTTATTTTTAGTGTACAAAGCAAAAATAAAATAGATACAGAATATTGCACAACATTGTTCTTTATTGGTACATTATTAAAGGAACACTACAAACACCATGACCACTACAGCACACAGAACTTGATTTCCCATTAGGCACCTGTCTTCATCACTTACAATGTGCTTTTATGAGCTTAAAAAGACTGGTGGGGGTCAGCCTTAAAGGGAAAACTATAGTCACTACAACCACTACAGCTTAATGTAGTGGTTCTGGCGTCTATAACCTGTCCCTGTTGGCTTTTTAATATAAACAATGTCTTTTCACTGTGGTAAAAACCAAGACAGTGGGAACTTCTCTGGTGTACGTATAAACTGCGCAAAACAAATATACTCCCAGTGAATACACCCCTGCATGCATAGACATACACTGCACTACACACAAATACACACTACAATTGCACACATACTGTCCACTGTCCACATAAAAACATACCTACATTCAAACATATGGACACTACACACAAATACACCCCTGCATCCACACACCTACTGCATACAAAAACACTTCTATTTTCAAACAATCAACTGTGTCACAGAAAAAAATACGTACAGTATGTTCAAAAATGTCAGATCACAAAAAAAACTGATGAAAAATACCTGACAGAATTAATACATTTTGCCAAATTATTTGTTGGAAATCAGATGTTAAAGTGTCTGTAACATTTTGATACATCTCCCCCAAAGTGTCCGCTAGTACAGAACAGAGGACTAGCAGTGCAGTGTTAACCATTTTCAATGCTGGTGATGTTATGGCCTGTAACTGCCATCACTTCCAGCCAGATTTCATCTGAATGAAAACAATGAAAGTGCTGACATTGGGTTGGCTCTATAATGAATTGAGGAAAGACTACGCAGGTTGTTATGGTAGGGTATTATCTTATTAAAAGAGTAGACAGGGTGATCTACTGCTCCGATCGAATCAACTGGACAGTTTGCTGTCCCCTAGTGCTCGGGTCTGGCATGTTGCTGAATGGAGGGATTATTGGGAGGGCTTGGGGTTGACCAAAATGTCATGGTCCATATTGGTACCAATGACAGAGATTGAGGAAAAGGGAGGACCTTAAACAATGAGTTCAGGGAAGTTGGCAGCAAACTTAAGAAAAAGACCTCCAAGGTGGTATTTTCTGAGATATTACCTGTGCCGCAAGCTACAGTCGAAAGGCAACGGGAGATTACAAAGATCAATGCATGGCCGAAGTCTTGATGTGGTAAGGAGGCTTTTTAGAGCACTGGGACAATTTTGGGCTCGGATACAATCTTTATAGCCGAAGTGGATTGCACCTGAATGGAAGAGAATACTTTGTGCTTGGGAAGAGGATGGCTAGAAGAGGGGGGAAAGGGATCAAAGAAGGGTAGATGTGGTCGATTTTATACAAAAGAGATGGAATTCAACTGAAGTCCAGGAGGGTGGAGATGGGGAGAGTGATAAGATTTGCAGACAGAGCAAGATGGTATTCATTACATGTTGTTCAAATAAAGTTCAAGAAACAAATGGTAACGTTAAATGTCTACTAATGCTAAAGAGGCTTGTGTAGGAATATGGGGGAACTTAAAATATTAGCATACAAGGAACAATATGACATTATTGGGACTACTTGGACTTGGTGGGATGAGTCACTTGATTGGGCTATTAATTTAAATGGATATACATTACTCAGAAAGGATAGAAAAAAATAGACGAGGAGTCTGAGTATGTCTTTATGTTAAAAATGATTTGAAACCAAGTGTTAATAAAATTGTATGATACAGGTTAAGATGTGGAAGCCTTATGGGTATACATATTAATAGGAGGAAACTGGGGATATCCATTAACAGTAGGAATATGTGTTTTCTGCAAAAAGCCTGAAGGTAATGATTCTACTCACCAGAACAAATTCAATAAGCTGTAGTTGTTCTTGTGACTATAGTGTCCTTTTAATGCTAATGGGGAAGAGCAACAGCTATCTCAAATTAATAAGGCTGCACAACTGGGTAATTTGTCAATCATGTCAAGATATTAATTATCCAGACATTGATAGGGCCAGAGGGACTAGTAGAACAGTTAAAGGAAACAGGTTTTTGATCTTGATAAACGGTAAATTCATGTCTCAATAAGTAGAAATGTCAACTAAAAAAAATATGCTTTTCTGGATCTTGTCATAACTAATAATGTTGATTTATTTTCAAACATTCAAGTTAGGGAGAACTTGGAAAATAGTGGTATTGGTAATAATATGGTATTATTTAAGATTAATTTAAAAAAGATCCCAAATTATATTGGCTGTACTTAATCCCTTAGTTTAAAAAAAACAAACTGAATTCAATAAGATAAGGGCATCTCTACAACGAATTGAGTGACAGTAAATATTCACTGAGAATAAATGGAAGGTCTATAAACAAATTCTACAAAAGTACATTTCTCAATATATACCATTGGGAAACAAATATATTAATAATCAAATTAAAACAAGAGTAATTTAAATGATAATAGATAAGAAAATGGCATTCAAAACATTTAAATCAGAACCGTCAATTGCATCCTAGAGTAATCATAAGCATGCCAACAGAGTTTGAAAATAGTGATTAGATGGGCTAGACTTGAAAATAATTGTTCATAATCAAAAAGAGCAAGACCAACCCCAAAAAGTTTAAGTATGTTAATGCCAAGAAGGTTAAGAGTGAAAATGTTGGCCCATTGGAAAGTGAGATGGGTGAGTTAATCAAGGAGGATTGGGACAAGACAGAAATTCTAAATAATTATTTATTTCTTCGGTATATAGGGAAGAAGAATCTATGGTTGTAGATTTGCATATCCCTGTTAGAAAAGTCTTACAGAAAACAGGTGATTGGTTAACACATTATAAAGTGCTTCAGAAACAAAATAAAGTTAATGTAAACAAAGTCCCAGGGCCAGATGGTATTCACCCATAGATGCATAGGGAACTTAGTGTTGAAATATCTATACTACTGTTTTTCATTTTTTAGGACTATTTTTTTTTCAAGATTGGAGAAACCCTTTTAAAACCCTATGTTTTAAAAGGGGTTAAAAGCTCAACCCAGAAACTACAGACCCATGAGCTTAACATCTATGGTTGAGATCAGGTGGTAGAGTACTGCACACTAGTATTTTGATTTACCAGAGCTCTGTGTTGAAGATCCGCTAGCTCCCAATAAATTTTTTTTTTTTTAAATCGAGAAATATAGAGCCAAAGGCTACACAGTCCAGGGTGAAGAGTAAGGTATATTCAATTATGGTCCAAAAGACAAAACAAAGTTACAATGCTCCAACCATGAGGCCTGTACTGTGTACCCTGTTGCTCTATACGTCTGGCTCTATGGTTGGAAAGTTATTTGAAGGACTGTTGAGGGATAATATTCAAGAAATAATTTTGAGCAACAATATCAAAGCAGGATCAACATGGTTTAACCCCTTAAGGACCAAACTTCTGGAATAAAAGGGAATCATGACATGTCACACATGTCATGTGTCCTTAAGGGGTTAATGAAAGACAGGTCATGCCAAACTAACAATGTAATTCCATGAAGAAGTTAGTAGACTATAGATCAAGGTGTTTCAGTAGACGTGATCTACTTGTATCTTGCTAAGGCCTTTGATACAGTTGCACACCAAGGTTAATAGTAAAACTGAAATAATTCGACTTAGACAAAAAATTGTGTTGTTAGATAGAACAGTGGCAGATAGAGTGCAAAGAGTAGTTGTAAATGGAAAATTTTCAAACTGGACAAAAGTGGTAAGTGGAGTGCGTCAGGGTTCTGTCCTGAGCCCACTTCTCTTTAATCTATTTATAAATGATCTTGAAGATCATTTATAAATAGATTACATTTATAACGCATTTATAACATAAATTTACATTTGTCTGTGTTTGCAGATAACACAAAACTAGATAACAAAACACAGGATATAACTTCTTTACAGAGGGGTTTGGATAAATTAAATTGGATAACTGGGCAGGCGAGTAGCAGATGAGTTTCAAGAAAGAAAAAAGCAAAGTCATGCATTTTGAAATAAAGAACCCACAAGCCACCTATACATCAAATGGGGTTTAGTTAGGGATAATAATAAATGAAAAGGACTTGGGAACAATTATAGATCACGAACTAGCTAACAGTATGCAATGCTAGTCTGCCGTTGCAAAAGCTAGTAAGATGATTTTGTGTATAAAAAGGGGTCCAAATATAATTCTGCCTCTTTACAAATCAATGGTAAAACTCTCCCTTGAATATACAGGACTATTTGGGCACCAATTATAATGGGCTTTAACCCCTTAAGGACACATGACGGAAATATTCTGTCATGATTCCTTTTTATTCCAGAAGTTGTGTCCTTAAGGGGTTAAAGCCGTTGCGGCGGCATAGAACGCCGTAACGGCTTTCATCCCCAGGAGCTCCACGATCCTCTTCGGGAGGACTGCCTGACAGCCCAGGCAGCCCTCCCTTGGCAAATGAGGCCCCCGGGGGCCATGTGATAGCTCTCAAAGAGCGATCACATGGCCCCCTATAGCTGGCTGTGGATCTGCCAGCATGGGGACTGTCTGAGCTGTCAGACAGTCCCCCTGCTGGTGGGAAGAATAATAAAACTATTATTAGCAAGTTTAAAATAAAATAAATATATATATATATAATATATATACACATATTATATATATGTAACGTGATACGTAATGTATTTTAATGTTAATATAAGTACATATATTAATCTTAAAATACACTTAGAATGACGTTACATATATATAAGATATATATATTGTATATATAATACATCTATATATATTTTAGATTTATATATACACGTATAATTACAATAGTAAATAAATAAATATTTTTAAAAAATTAAAATAAATTATATATACATATGTAATCTCATTCTAACTGTATTTTGTTATTAATATATATATTGGTAACAAAATACACTTAGAATGACATTCTATTTATATATATCTATATATAAAATACAAATAACTGTAAATAGTTATATAGATAAATACATAAATAACTACATAAGTATAAGATTTGATTGACGTGCCTGACAACCCAGGCAGCAAGTGCAGAGAATTAAATCCACACGCGCTATATTTAACCCTGTAACTTTCCAAGACACCATAAAACCTCGGGAGACTTCGCTGAACACAAATATTAGTGTTTCAAAATGATACATTGTATTACAACAATGATATATTTAGTAAAAGTGAAGTTTTTGCATTTTTCACACACGAACTGCACTTTTACTGACAATATTATTGTTGTAATATGTTTTACTGTTTTGAAACACTAATATTTGTGTTCAGCGAAGTCTCCCAAGTATAAGAGTACCCCCCATGTACAGGTTTTATGGTGTTTTGGAAAGTTAGAGAGTCAACTATAATTATATATTTCATTTTTTTCCCATTGAAATTTGCCAGATTGGTTACGTTGCATTTGAGACCGTATGGTAGCCCAGGAATGAGAATTACCCCCATGATGGCATACTATTTAAAAAGGTAGACAACCCAAGGTATTGCAAATGGGGTATGTCCAGTCATTTTTAGTAGCCACTTAGTCACAAACACTGGCCAAATATTAGTTTTTTTGCTTTTTTCAAACAAAAACAAATATGAACGCTAACTTTATAGTAGCCAGTGTAAGTGGCTACTATAAAGGACTGGACATACCCCACTTGCAATACCTTGGGTTGTCTACTTTTGCAAATGGTATGCCATCATGGGGTTAAATCTCATTCCTGGGCTACCACACGGTCTCAAAGGTAACATTACTAATCTGGCGAATTTCAATTTGAAAAAACTGAAAAATGGAATGTGCTATATTTGACCCTTTAACTTTCCACAACACCCTAAAAACTGTTAACGGGGTGGTACTGTTGTACTCGTGAGACTTTGCTGAATCCAAATATGTGTGTTTTTTGCAGTTAAAGCTAACAGTATTATAAAATTTACAGCAAAAATGTCTACAATTGTTTACAAAAATCTTAGTTTCTCACAGTTTTTTAAATTTTATTCATAATAAATTATGTTTCAAATATGAATAGTTCATGAGAAATTAATGCCCAGTTTCTCCTGAACAAAATGATATATAATAAGTGTGGGTGCACATAATATGAAAGAGGTGAATTACGGGTGAACAGACATATAGCGCAAATTCCAGTTTTTGTTTACATTTTGTTTTGATCAGAACGTGTACTATTGACTCCGTCCTGAAGGGGTTAAAGAAGGATTTTGCTGAACTAGAAAAAGTTGCAATTGTTTTTGTATTTGTTTATGTGTTGCCTTCTTTTGGATCATCAGCAAAACAGAATGGGTTTCACAGAACTTGATGTACTTTAGTCTTTTTTGCAGCCTAGACAACTATGTATCTACGAATCTGGACTTTAACCCCTTAAGGACCAAACTTCTGGAATAAAAGGGAATCATGACATGTCACACATGTCATGTGTCCTTAAGGGGGTTAAAGGAATTGCAACCTAGTTGTCTACAAAGGCAGGGTTATTGACTAGAGATTTATAATGCTTTCCTATGGACGCTTGCGTGCTCTCACTGTGATTTTCACAGTGAGAATCACGCAAACGCCTCTAGCGGCTGTCAATGAGACAGCCGCTAGAGGAATTGGAGGAAGGATTAACCCATTTGTAAACATAGCAGTTTCTCTGAAACTGCTATGTTTATAAAAAAATGGGTTAATCCTAGCTGGACCTGGCACCCAGACCACTTCATTAAGCTGAAGTGGTCTGGGTGCCTAGAGTGGTCCTTTAAATCTGTTCACAATAAATTGGTTACTGTAACAACACTGCCCTTAACAGTGCAGAGCAGAATCTTCAGAGTAGAGCCTAATTTGGTAGCATGCCATAGTGCATTATATTTCAATTGAAGAATAACTCAATTAGCTCATTTAAATTGTTGGATTCGTGGGGGTAATGCTCATGTTTACTGGGATCCTGTTTTTTCAATGGAATATGTACTTCTCATTTCTTAATATCCAGTGTCTGCAGTAATTGTCACAAGCAAATCCTATAGAAAATATAGAATCTGCATATTTATCAAACACCAGATTTCAGCCAGATTCACTCTCAACAAACCAGGTAGATTGCACAAAAAACCCACAATATAAACTTTTTACAAGTGAACCGACAGAAATCTGCTCTAGTTGCTTGCTCTGCCAGTGAGCAAAGAGTTAAAACACAGCAAAGATTAATGAAATGTTAATAAATATATAATATAAATAAACTAGTGCCTTAATATACATTTTAATAAATACTTAATAAATACGCTTTTATATTTGGGGCATTTGAACACTCACACTGAGTTAACCCTTTCTCTAATAGAATTAGCCATCATAATGCTAACTAAATATACAGGCAGAGATTGGCTATTTCTGTTGCATCTGAGCATTTGGTTGCACATTTCCAACATTCGGTTCTGGGTTTCAGCCGGCTCGTTTAAGCAGGGTCCTCATCTACCTATTGTTCCTGTAACATGTTGTCTTTGTCGCATTTATTGCTAAATTTCCCTTATAACATTGTAAAGCGCTGCGGGATAAGCTGCCGCTATATAAATGGCAGTAATAATAATTTAGTTGCATCCAGACACAGTGAGATTTGAAGCACATTCATGCTAGTGTAACATCTGGATATTGATAAATACAGTATGATGTTCAGTGTCCAGATTTTGTGGTCCCAATGCTCCCGAATGGCACCAGTTTATGCAATTTGTTTCTCTGTTTAAAGAAAAAAAGGTTAAGACTCATTAGAGTAATGGATTACAGTATAACTATATGCTTACCCCTTGTGCTTACTCACTGGAACAATGGTCCGGATTGGTTGGACAACACCACCTTCCCTGCCACTGGAAAAATTAATGAGTGCCCTCTCTAGCAGTGGGATCAGAGTTGTATAGCCTAAGTACTTCTCTACTACATCTGCAGCGATATATGCTGGCTTGGTAGCCATGGTGGTGTGCAGGGTCCTTGGTTTCAGGAACTCAGCTTGGTCTCATCCCACACTGAGAGAATTTGGCAGCTGGAGGCCTTTCTATGTTGTAACTTTGGCAGACACCTCCTTTCAAAGTAAGACACTCCCCGCTGGCCTTTTTGGAGAATTCAGTTGGATTTTAACCCTATGCCTTAGAAGAGTGTTAGCAAAGCATTTTAACAAATAGGATCAGCGGCATCTAATGCAAAGGCTATCTGAGCATGATTGGAGTTGTGATCTATTGCAGTATGATCAATTATTTTTGTGTTTGTTGTATGGTTGTTTGTAAATTTGTAAAAGTTTATGCAAAATTCTGTTAGAGGGTTTATTTACTGAACACTGAAAATTTAGTCAAATGAAAAAATATATATTTTTTGTAATTCAAGTCGCTTTTTATTGCCGTCCTTGCAAGTTAAAGTACATCATCATATATGATAATAAAAAATCATTAATATCCATAAAGAAAATAACAGTCGCAGTATGAGGCAGGGATGTGCCTGTTTGTGGGAAGACACATAGTTAGTACGTGCAACACAAAAACTGTAAGCGAATAGTACAGTAACAAGAGCTATGGATTTAGAGCATATGTCAGTATTATAAATCAGGAGAGCCGTTGAGGCTCTTTTATCGGCTAAGAATTGCAAAATGTAGGTTAATATAGACAAACTGTTACCAGGGATGTATTTACCACAAGGCAAACAAGGCATTTGCCTAGGGCGGCACTTTCATGGGGGCGCCAAAAAACGCCACCCCAAGCTCCCAAACAAATGCCTTGTTTGCCTCATGTCCTGAGGCTGTCTTTCTTAGGGCCAGGGCCGCCACCAGAAATTTTGACACAGCACAAGGTCCGGGCCCCCCTCTGCCCCCCCTCCCGCCCGGCCCGCCCACGATTCCGCCCACAGGACTCCTACCTAGTCCGCTGCTGGTGTGTATAGTGGAAGTGAATTAGAATGTGTGTAATGGATGTAGTGTTTGTGTGTATTAGATACTGTTTGTGCAGTGAATGCAGAGTGTGTGTTTGTGTAGCGGATGTAGTGTTTGTGTGTACTAGGTGCAATGTGTTTAGTGGATGCAGTGTCTGTAGTGGATGTAGTGTGTGTATTAGACGCAGTGTCTCTGTATAGTGAATGCAGAGTGTTTGAATGTGTGGTGGATGTAGTGTGTGTACTGTGAATACAGGATGTTTGTGTAGTGGATGCTGTGTGTATAGTTAATGCAGAGTGTGTGTCAGTGTAATGAATGCAGAGTGTGTGTCAGTGTAGTGGATGCAGAGTGTGTGTGTGTCAGTGTAGTGGATGCAGTGTGTGTGTGTGTTAGTGTAGTGAATGCAGAGTGTGTGTTAGTGTAGTGTATGCAGTGTGTGTGTGTTAGTGTAGTGAATGCAGAGTGTGTGTTAGTGTAGTGAATACAGAGTGTGTGTGTTAGTGTAGTGTATGCAGAGTGTGTGTGTGTTAGTGTAGTGAATGCAGGGTGTGTGTTAGTGTAGTGTATGCAGAGTGTGTGTGTGTTAGTGTAGTGAATGCAGAGTATGTGTTTGTGTGGTGTATGCAGAGTGTGTGTGTTAGTGTAGTGAATGCAGAGTGTGTGTTAGTGTAGTAAATGCAGTGTGCGTGTTAGTGTAGTGAATGCAGAGTGTGTGTTAGTGTAGTGAATGCAGTGTGTGTGTTAGTGTAGTGAATACAGAGTGTGTGTTAGTGTAGTGAATGCAGTGTGTGTGTTAGTGTAATGAATACAGAGTGTGTGTTAGTGTAGTGAATGCAGTGTGTGTTAGTGTAGTGAATGCAGAGTGTGTTTGTGTAGTGTATGCAGAGTGTGTGCTAGTGTAGTGTATGCAGAGTGTGTGTTAGTGTAATGATTGCAGAGTGTGTGTTAGTGTAATGAATGCAGAGTGTCTGTTAGTGTAATGAATGCAGTGTGTGTGTTAGTGTAGTGAATGCAGAGTGTGTGCTAGTGTAATGATTGCAGTGTGTGTTAGTGTAATGAATGCAGAGTGTCTGCTAGTGTAGTGAATGCAGTGTGTGTGTGTTAGTGTAGTGAATGCAGAGTGTGTGTTAGTGTAATGAATGCAGAGTGTCTGCTAGTGTAGTGAATGCAGTGTGTGTGTGTTAGTGTAGTGAATGCAGAATGTGTGTTAGTGTAATGATTGCATTGTGTGTTAGTGTAGTGAATGCAGAGTGTGTGTAAGTGTAATGATTGCAGTGTGTGTTAGTGTAGTGTATGCAGTGTGTGTGTTAGTGTAGTGAATGCAGTTTGTGTGTTACTATAGTGAATGCAGAGTGTGTGTTAGTGTAATGATTGCAGTGTGTGTGTTAGTGTAGTGTATGCAGAGTGTGTGTTAGTGTAGTGAATGCAGTGTTAGTGTAATGATTGCAGTGTATGTGTTAGTGTAGTGTATGCAGAGTGTGTGTTAGTGTAATGATTGCAGAGTGTGTGTTAGTGTAGTGAATGCAGAGTGTGTGTTAGTGTAATGATTGCATTGTGTGTTAGTGTAGTGAATGTAGAGTGTGTGTAAGTGTAATGATTGCAGTGTGTGTTAGTGTAGTGTATGCAGTGTGTGTGTTAGTGTAGTGAATGCAGTTTGTGTGTTACTATAGTGAATGCAGAGTGTGTGTTAGTGTAATGATTGCAGTGTGTGTGTTAGTGTAGTGTATGCAGAGTGTGTGTTAGTGTAGTGAATGCAGTGTTAGTGTAATGATTGCAGTGTATGTGTTAGTGTAGTGAATGCAGAGTGTGTGTTAGTGTAATGAATGCAGTGTGTGTGTCGGTGTAGTGAATGCAGAGTGTGTGTTAGTGTAATGATTGCAGTGTGTGTGATAGTGTAGTGAATGCAGTGTGTGTGTTAGTGTAGTGAATGCAGTGTGTGTGTCGGTGTAGTGAATGCAGAGTGTGTGTTAGTGTAATGATTGCAGTGTGTGTGTTAGTGTAGTGAATGCATTGTGTGTGTTAGTGTAATGAATGTAGAGTGTGTGTAAGTTTAGTGTATGCAGAGTGTGTGTTAGTGTAATGAATGCAGAGTGTCTGTTAGTGTAATGATTGCAGAGTGTGTTAGTGTAATGATTGCAGTGTGTGTGTTAGTGTAATGAATGCAGAGTGTCTGTTAGTGTAGTGAATACAGAGTGTGTGTGTTAGTGTAGTGTATGCAGAGTGTGTGTGTGTTAGTGTAGTGAATGCAGGGTGTGTGTTAGTGTAGTGTATGCAGAGTGTGTGTGTGTTAGTGTAGTGAATGCAGAGTATGTGTTTGTGTGGTGTATGCAGAGTGTGTGTGTGTTAGTGTAGTGAATGCAGAGTGTGTGTTAGTGTAGTAAATGCAGTGTGCGTGTTAGTGTAGTGAATGCAGAGTGTGTGTTAGTGTAGTGAATGCAGTGTGTGTGTTAGTGTAGTGAATACAGAGTGTGTGTTAGTGTAGTGAATGCAGTGTGTGTGTTAGTGTAATGAATACAGAGTGTGTGTTAGTGTAGTGAATGCAGTGTGTGTTAGTGTAGTGAATGCAGAGTGTGTTTGTGTAGTGTATGCAGAGTGTGTGCTAGTGTAGTGTATGCAGAGTGTGTGTTAGTGTAATGATTGCAGAGTGTGTGTTAGTGTAATGAATGCAGAGTGTCTGTTAGTGTAATGAATGCAGTGTGTGTGTTAGTGTAGTGAATGCAGAGTGTGTGCTAGTGTAATGATTGCAGTGTGTGTTAGTGTAATGAATGCAGAGTGTCTGCTAGTGTAGTGAATGCAGTGTGTGTGTGTTAGTGTAGTGAATGCAGAGTGTGTGTTAGTGTAATGAATGCAGAGTGTCTGCTAGTGTAGTGAATGCAGTGTGTGTGTGTTAGTGTAGTGAATGCAGAATGTGTGTTAGTGTAATGATTGCATTGTGTGTTAGTGTAGTGAATGCAGAGTGTGTGTAAGTGTAATGATTGCAGTGTGTGTTAGTGTAGTGTATGCAGTGTGTGTGTTAGTGTAGTGAATGCAGTTTGTGTGTTACTATAGTGAATGCAGAGTGTGTGTTAGTGTAATGATTGCAGTGTGTGTGTTAGTGTAGTGTATGCAGAGTGTGTGTTAGTGTAGTGAATGCAGTGTTAGTGTAATGATTGCAGTGTATGTGTTAGTGTAGTGTATGCAGAGTGTGTGTTAGTGTAATGATTGCAGAGTGTGTGTTAGTGTAGTGAATGCAGAGTGTGTGTTAGTGTAATGATTGCATTGTGTGTTAGTGTAGTGAATGCAGAGTGTGTGTAAGTGTAATGATTGCAGTGTGTGTTAGTGTAGTGTATGCAGTGTGTGTGTTAGTGTAGTGAATGCAGTGTGTGTGTTACTATAGTGAATGCAGAGTGTGTGTTAGTGTAATGATTGCAGTGTGTGTGTTAGTGTAGTGTATGCAGAGTGTGTGTTAGTGTAGTGAATGCAGTGTTAGTGTAATGATTGCAGTGTATGTGTTAGTGTAGTGAATACAGAGTGTGTGTTAGTGTAATGAATGCAGTGTGTGTCAGTGTAGTGAATGCAGAGTGTGTGTTTGTGTAATGATTGCAGTGTGTGTGATAGTGTAGTGAATGCAGTGTGTGTGTTAGTGTAGTGAATGCAGTGTGTGTGTCGGTGTAGTGAATGCAGAGTGTGTGTTAGTGTAATGATTGCAGTGTGTGTGTTAGTGTAGTGAATGCATTGTGTGTGTTAGTGTAATGAATGCAGAGTGTGTGTAAGTTTAGTGTATGCAGAGTGTGTGTTAGTGTAATGAATGCAGAGTGTCTGTTAGTGTAATGATTGCAGAGTGTGTTAGTGTAATGATTGCAGTGTGTGTGTTAGTGTAATGAATGCAGAGTGTCTGTTAGTGTAATGAATGCAGAGTGTGTGTTAGTGTAATGATTGCAGTGTGTGTGTTTTCTTGTCATCATTTGCCATCCATAGGTGATGAATGAAGGGAGACCCTAAACTTCTAACCAGTTTTGGGCCCTGTGAGATCTTACTCCTTGTCTGCAACAGTCCCAGATCTGTAAGGGCAGTCCAGGTTTTTGGGTCCTGTTCTGACCTCCTGGAGTTGTTTCCTGATGTCCAACATTTAAGGATACTAGAGAATTGTCCCATATCACTGCAGCATGACGACACAAA